TGCTTACATGTTATTCGTACTTCATATCTTTCATAAAAATAAAGAGCCTTATGTGTTTGTGTATTTCCTGCCACAGGTTCAGGATTTACACTCAATCACTCCAGACCACTTCCTGGAAGTAAGCGGTGCTGTAATTCATCCGTTGTCTTATCAGCAGGTAACTTAACTATGACTTGAAAATATATTTTCTGGAAATCTCTGTACCTGCATGCATGGATATATTTGTGTCCTACATTCATGCTACATGTGGAACTATTGTATTTATTTATGGCTTGGGGTTTAAGGTCAGGGATGTTTAGGGTTAATCCGTCATTGAATTTGCATACCAATCTTGCCACTTGTTAATTAAAAACATTTATCTATTTTTTCCAAAGTAAGATATTTAGCACGCTCTTAGATATTTTTATTGATAACAAATGCTTTGGATCAATTTTCACTAACACTTTACTATAAACATTTAGCTGATCTTAAAATATCTGTGATTTAACAGGCTCGCAATTTTCGTTTTCCTTGTGGCCTGGCTTATGTTGCGGACCCTGGGTAAGCTGCTTTACTTCCACCAAAAAAGTGTCACATTTTCTTGATTTAACAGGCTCGTAACTTTCTTGACTGATGTGTCGATATTGTAAATGTAAATGATTTCGTGTCTCTGTATTTCTGGATTTACTTGGAAATGCTCTTTTCTATTCAGATACATGCTATTTAGAGCTGGGGTCCCTCGACACGCTATCATAAAGAAGGTTGCTAATGAGGACATTTCTGGTCTGGGGGATTTAGTATCTGTTCTCTCAAAGCTCTCCAAAGGTGCTCGTGTTCCCTTGGAATATATGTCTCACACTGATCGTCATCGCAAGAAGGTGATATACCTTGTTTAAAAATCTTTTTGCTATACTTCCTAACCCACTGTAAACATATAGTTGTCAATACTTGGTGCTAGCATATTTATGATATTTTGTTAGGGTACTCCATATCAGTATCGTCATTCTTACAAACAATTTGTTGATTCTGTGATAATATCACCTCTCTTCTCGGTGTTCCTAGTATATGTTTTTTGGTGCTGCAGTGCTGCTAGATCTCTGTGATCACTGTCTATGGGAAAATATTATATTTAAATCAATGATTTCCCCACACAATCTTTTGTGTTAGCGACGTTCTTGTCATTAACATTTGCGTTCTTATTTCTTTTTGAACTCTATAATAATACTCAAATGAGAAATACTTATTGTCGGGTTCCATTTCTTGCAGTCTGTGTTAGTCACAATTGATCGTCATGAATGGTACGCTCCTCCGCAGTTGTATACCCGTAATGACAGTTCTGGTTTATGGGATGTGAAACCTGCAATTGAACCTGCTGCTGTTGCGCCATCTATTGGTAATAATGGCTTGCCTATAAGCCAAAATATTTCTATCTGCCATCACGATACAGAACCCATGCATGAAGTGAATGTTCGTGGGGTTACTGATATTGCAGCTATTATGGAAGCCTCTGGTGGGGATGGTTCTCAGAATGATTTTGGCTCGGAAGCAAAGAAACAAAGAGTTGACGATGATTCTCTAGATGGAATTGCTGCAAACGGTTCGTTATATGGCAGTGAATTTAAATCTGATGATGCAATGGCAACAGATAATACAGTTTTAAGAGACTTCGAAGGTGCAACAGCACTTTCTGCTAATGCTTCCTTGGCTGAGCGTGCTATTGAGCCTGCTCTTGTCATGTTTGAGGTAAAGACTAAAACATCTCTCAAAAGTTATCAGTTTCACCAGCAGTTGAAATTTTATACATTTATGTAGTGTGCTATTTCTCACTGTTTCTTTCTTGGTTCTTAATGGCCATTTGATTTTTTCATTGAGTGACAACGTTTGATAACACTTAGTAAGTTTGGGTGTAGCAGTTGATTCCATTAATTTGCATAGAAGATGGGTGTGTCACTGAACTTTTATAAAATAGTATACAATATTGAATTCAAGGTTCAGAATACCTACATCATCAAAGAGTACAAAATGATAACACAAAGTAGTATTTACTTAAATTATTTCCTTAAAACATGTTAGGTTTGGTAATTACTTTTTGAAGTCTGACAGATCATAATCTACGGAGGCTATAAGAAACCATAAATTCTTGGCGAACTGAATTACTATCTTGGTTAAATATTTTCTGGTATATGCGATTGTAATTACATTTCTTTTTTCTTTTGTTCCTTTTTTTGGTCAAAAGTACAGTATGATTAAAGACAGCTTGCATCTGTTGAAATTAACTTCCCGTATACAGGTTCATGTGCCACCATCGTGCAGTCTTGATGGTGTACACTCACAACATTTCTTTGGGACTGGCATCATTATATATCATTCTTCTAGCATGGGACTTGCTGTGGTGGACAAAAACACTGTTGCAATTTCTGCATCTGATGTTATGTTGTCGTTTGCTGCTTTTCCAGTCGAGATTCCTGGAGAGGTTAGATTTTCCCTGAGATTGTTATAGTTAATGGAAGGATGCTTTAGAACTGATCTTTCTTAACTTAACTGCAGGTGGTATTTCTTCATCCTGTTCACAACTATGCTCTTATTGCCTATAATCCATCAGCAATGGGTCCTGCCAGTGCTTCAGTCATTCGTGCAGCTGAGCTACTGCCTGGTATGTTGTTAACCATTTGAAAGTTCCATCATTGCTTATTTGGATATCACCAGCTAACAGACGATCATGCTTTTGTGAAAAGCTGTCTCATACGATTCATGTATATATTGTTGCTATTACCTGAACAGAACCTGCACTGCAACGTGGAGATTCAGTGTATCTTGTCGGATTGAGTAGAAATCTTCAAGCCACATCGAGAAAATCTATTGTAACCAATCCATGTGCAGCCTTAAACATTGGCTCTGCTGATTCTCCACGCTACAGAGCTACTAATATGGAAGTAATCGAGCTTGATACAGGTACGGAATTCAGAGCCTTTGACTTTATATTTAGTTACTTAGACATGTTCAAATCCCACTTCGTTTTTTTCTTGCTTCTTGCAGATTTTGGTAGCTCATTTTCAGGAGCGCTGACTGATGAGCAGGGAAGGATAAGGGCCATTTGGGGAAGCTTTTCGACTCAGGTTCATCTTCCCACTTTGCAGTTTAACTAAGTTTTGTGTTCTTGTTTCCTGACATGCTGCGTTCTTGTGAATTGATTACAGGTTAAATATAGTTCCACTTCGTCAGAAGACCATCAGTTTGTCAGAGGTATCCCGGTATATGCAATCAGCCAAGTCCTTGAAAAAATCATAACCGGTGGAAATGGACCAGCTCTTCTCATAAATGGTGTCAAAAGGCCAATGCCGCTTGTTCGGATTTTGGAAGTTGAGTTGTATCCTACTTTGCTCTCAAAAGCCCGGAGTTTCGGTTTGAGTGATGAATGGATCCAAGTAAGCCATTTTTTTATATAATACGCTATATTTCTGCGTAGATTCTTTATCATACGTCTCTGTGCTTAATATCTTAGTCTAAATGATGCATTCTCAAATTCATTTACTATACTGATTGTTCTGACAGATCCTAGTCAAGAAAGATCCTGTTAGACGTCAAGTTCTGCGTGTTAAAGGTTGCCTGGCAGGATCAAAAGCTGAAAACCTTCTAGAGCAAGGCGACATGGTTCTGGCAGTCAATAAGATGCCAGTTACATGCTTCAGTGACATAGAAGCCGCTTGTCAAACGTTGGATAAGGGCAGCCACAACGATGAAAATCTCAGTCTAACAATCCTTCGACAGGTGACACCATTAACTCCTGTTTCTTGAGACATCTTGTATTTATTTTTTTCTCTGTTATCACCTTAGTCTCTGTATCAATTGATCACGACACCTGTTACGGCAGTAGTTTGTATCCTTGTCTTGAGTTTCTTGACACAAATAATGTAGGTTAAGAAATAATAAGGTCTACGTGTTGATTTAGTCTCTTGTTGGTTTGTTAGGGCCAAGAAATGGAGCTCGTAGTTGGAACTGATAAAAGAGATGGGAACGGAACTACAAGAGCAATAAACTGGTGTGGATGTGTTGTTCAGGATCCCCATCCTGCGGTTCGTGCTCTCGGATTTCTTCCGGAGGAAGGTCATGGTGTCTATGTCACAAGGTACTACTAGTTGTGAGCTATGTATGAGATCTCAATTTGGTTTAACATAAAACCTGGTTCTTACCAACATATTTGTCGCAACCGACTAGAATTCATCAGTTTCTTGGTATTCTCTTTGAAAAATGTTGTTCCAGATGGTGTCACGGAAGTCCTGCACATCGATATGGCCTCTATGCACTTCAATGGATTGTGGAGGTGAACGGGAAGAAGACTCCCGACCTAAACGCATTCGCAGATGCCACCAAGGTATGTCTCGTTCCTTACAAAAAGTTACAGTTCCAATTACTTTGGACCTGAAGAAGAGTTATGGAGCCTTTACAAGAACTACTCTTTTATTCTGATTGAAATATTATTCTAAGATAGTTGCTTGTCGAATTGGTTGCAATAGGAGCTAGAGCACGGGCAGTTTGTGCGTATTAGGACTGTTCATCTTAACGGCAAGCCACGAGTCTTGACTCTGAAACAAGATCTCCATTACTGGCCTACTTGGGAGCTGAGGTTCGACCCAGAGAGTGCTCTTTGGCGGAGAAATATATTGAAAGCCTTGAAGTAAAAGCCTTGATGGTAAATTCTCTGAAAAGCTCTTATGTGTCTCATAGCTCCAACATTGTTGTATTTCTTACTCAAATTCTTCATTAATTCATACTAAAAGAACAGTCACTACAATTTACAGAGAAAAAATACTGAAGGATTTTACGTCCGGTAAAAATATTCAAATCTAGATTATCCATGTCATAAATCTCTTGTCATCTTCGAAATCAAATAATAGCATTAGTCATATCGAGTGAGGCTAATGACCTACACATTTGGCATTGTGCCATATTAATTTAACAACATGCATTCCAATTTATTTATTTATAAAATTATAAATAAAAACGGTCGAGAGACCTCTAAATTGATGAAACTAAACATCAATAGACCTTTTATTGTTTGTAATAAATTATATGAAACTAAACATCAATAAACCTTTTTATTATTTAGAATAAACAGAAAAAAAAACATACGCCCAAACACGAAACAAAGCAATATACTAGTCTGATTCATCATATGTCACCAATTACCAAAGCCATAAACTCCTCAAAGTTCAAGTAGCCATCACCATCTGCATCCACCGCTCGAACCTTTTCTGCACAACTCTCCTCGGTGCATGTCATTCCGATGCTAGTCATTGTCACATATGACTCACTGGCCGGTATCTTGCCGTCACCGTCAACATCACAAAAATCAAACACTTCCTTCAACATCTTCTCGATGCATGAAGTAAACTCGTCGGCGTTAAGCTCGCCATTACCATCCACGTCTATCTCTTTGAAAAACTTTGCGATATCCTCTTGAGAAAAGTTAGGTGAGAAAGCAAGAGCTGCTTCACGAAACTCGTCCAGTGAGAGTTTACCGTCTTTGTTCTTGTCGAACTTGTCGAACACCCGTTTTGCTGACATTTCTCTTGTAATTATATGTACTTCTTCCTTTTTGTGTTTTTTTTAAGAGCTAGTGTGAGTTATATTTATAGGGTTTGGAAACCTTAACCCAAAAATTAATAAAAGATGATAACTAGTCCAATTAATGATAAATTGGACTTTATCCTAGAAATTGGATTTGGTTCAATCTTCATATTATTAATAGTTTCTTCACTTCCTTGTATCTCATAAGTAACTCATTATTGTGTCCAAATGTATAATTTAGCAGATTGGGCCATCTGGAATAGGATTTTAGTCTCTAAAGTTTTTTGGAAATTTGGTTACTAATTAGATGGGATTCAGTTTCACACATGTGAGTAAGAAATTTAAAGTAACTCAAGTATGTTTGTAGATTTTTTTTTTTCATATTTTTTCATTGTTTGTAGATTAATATATAAATTTTGATACTATATATTATATTTTTAAATAACTAAAGTGTATTTGATATATACAAAACTAATTAGATAGTTTCCACTATTTATTTTTCTTACCAACGTTTTAACAACACAACACTACAATTTAATCATTATTACATAGGGATTAAGGATTGTCAAATGATTCAAATCTCAGAAAGATAAATATAAATAAATGAATAAAAGGGGTGGTACTGGAATTTACATATTTACCCTTGCCTAATTTTCTCTCCGTCCTCTCACTCGGCGACCATCATCGATCTTTAGAGGCCATAGTACCGAGGATTTCTCCGGCTTCTAAATATCTACGCCGCCGTCAGAATCGACTCAAAGAGAACCGGAGATTGAATGGAAGATGCAGCCGCTCCAAATTCTGGATCCGAATTCAACCCAGGAGCTAGACGCGGCAAATCTATCGATGAATGCCAAGACATGATTCAGAGAAGTTTCCGAAGTATATATTATACACGGACTAAGCATCTCCGTTTCAATCTTTGCTCTTTTTCCTTTTTCTTTTCTTTCGAATCTTAAATCCATTGGTTGTTTGATTAGCTCACTCTGTAATCTGAGAAATTCATGAAAATAAGTTTCTGAGCAATCTAGGGTTTAAGGTTTTAGAATCAAAAGCAGAGTGAGAAGAAACATATGGATGGCTCTGTAGTTGACTCGTGGGTTTTATTGGGTTGTTAAATATCATTTGCTTTGATTTGGTCTGATTTTTGAATGTTGTTTGAATATAGACCCAATTGTGAAGTTTCTGATGGAGCAAATGGAGAAATCTGGGTGTAGAGTTGGTGATAATTTCGTAAAGGCTGTTGTTTGCACCGGACCTGTAGCTGGAGGTTACACTAAAGGAAGAGGGGTAACACCGTTTCCCATGTTTCTTCTTTTTTCTTGATATTATGCTGCTCTGGAGCTCGTTGATGAATTGATTGTCCCTTGATGCTGCTATATTCCTTTTGCTTTCTTTGTCTCAAGATCACTGTCTGCAGCAACTATCTCACCATTCAAGATGAAGTGAACCAAGTAGTTATACATGAGTTGATTCATGCTTATGACGAATGCCGAGCCAAGAATTTGGATTGGACTAATTGTGCTCATCATGCTTGCAGCGAGGTGATTTCAGTGTTAGATTAAAGCTTTAATATGTAGTGCTAATTGATGTACTGTTGTCAAAGTTCTTGATAGGTTTTGGTGTGTGTATATTCTTTAAACAGATACGCGCAGGTCACCTAAGCGGTGATTGCCATTTCAAGAGAGAACTTTTGCGGGGTTTCATTAAATTAAGAGGGCATGAACAAGTAAGTGACTATAGTTAGTTCGTATATACACTTGTTGAATCATTCGTTAATATCAACCGGTTCATGATTTTTCAAAAGGAATGTATAAAAAGAAGAGTGTTGAAATCGCTACGTGGAAACCCTTACTGCTCAGAAGTAGCTGCTAAAGATGCGATGGAAGCAGTGTGGGATACTTGTTACAATGACACTAAGCCTTTTGACAGAGCTCCTTGAAGGTAATAAGTCGACCTACACTCTCGAAAGACTTATTTTTGCTTCAAAGTTATGAGTTCAATTCTATCTTTGAAGATCGATATAAAGCCGGAAAAAACTGTTGGATTCAGCCTTTGATTTTTTTTCACCATGTATCTCTCACAATCCAACCTTTTTGGCCAAGTTAAACGATAGGATTCTTTACATTGTTGTTTAAAACAAAGGAAAAGGTGTAATACAGAATCTTGATTTCATGTGGATTTTGCTTGAATGGTTAATTTTAAATTTATGGATTTTTTTATTTTACATCACTATGTGGAGGAATAGTTTGCTCTTATGGAAATGTTGCCTTATATTATGACAAAAAGTTTAGTTATATAGTCCAAAATTCATCAATTTCTTTCACTATTTTTCTTCTTGTTGTAACAACACCAACCAAATGAAATGACTTTGTATTGAGAGTTAATGAAGGACCAAGTCAAATTCTAATTTTGGTAAATTCAGTTTTTTCATTAAATCGCCTAATTTAAAGCATAGCCTCAACTTGGTCACATTCAAAACTCTTTATATAACACTAAAGGTTTCATCTGATCTTTCCGACCAAGAGAACAAAACTAGAAACAATGGCTGACGCAACGGAAAAAGCTGAGCATGACCGTATTTTCAAGAGATTTGATGCTAACGGAGATGGGAAAATATCTGCGGCCGAGCTTGGAGATGCTCTCAAGAACCTTGGCTCGGTCACGCACGAGGACATTAAGCGTATGATGGCCGAGATCGATACTGATGGTGATGGATACATCTCCTACGAAGAATTTTCTGATTTCGCAAGTGCCAATCGTGGTCTTATGAAAGACGTCGCCAAGATTTTCTAAGTAAAGCTAACAGATCTTATAATTTTATATGAAAGGGCGTGTGTGAGATTTAATCATGTTTAATTTGTTTTGTAATGACAATCATTTGATCAAGTATGTTTTTTTTTCTTTATGTCTTGTCTTGGATTTTTCTTGAAAACGCATTGTAACGACGTATTAGTTTTTGATTTTTGTTTCTTGCGGTTTTGGCATTTGGTTAAAATGCTCGAGAGATTTGGTTTCTAGACTATAATTATAATGCATTGACTAGAACCCAAATGCAGTAATTTACATAAATCAAAACTGATATTTCTCAAAAATTAACATTCCACGTTAAGTATTATCATAACAATTTGTTTTTTTTTCCCAAAAAAAATAGACTTATATATAGAACTTGTGAATTCTGATATTTTAATAATTTTTACCATATGAATTGTGTAAGTTTGATGATATAGTTTTAAATATATTACAGATGTATTTTAAGTTTGATATTAGCTCTACTTTAAGTCATTGCCAAACACAAATCTCATTCTATTGTTCCTAAATATAGCTACACATAAGATAAAGACACTATAACGAAGAAGAATGGTTGGCACTAATTGTTCTCAAAATTGAGGACCAACACCATATACTTTAATAATAATCGAATAAAATCTCTTAAACAGCTTTGTGCCATCTACATCATTCTTACAAAATACAAATATCTTTTTACAACTAAAAGTTAAAAAAACAAAACCCAAAGAAATAGAAGCCATCCCTTAAAAAAAAAAAAAGGTCTTTCAACCCAATTTTCTCCTATATATTTGGATTTATTGTTTTCATACAATTTGCTTTATATAAATAAGATTATAATAAAGTTTCCTAAATAAAATATTTGACTAAAAATATATAACATATATGTATATTGCCACTCGTGTGTAGTATATATACACACGTACTATGTAACCGTTGGCCAACGCCTTCTTACTCGTACGTCTCTCTCTCTTTCTCTCTCTCTCTCTCTCTCTCTCTTTCTCAGCAGATCTTTTCTTCTTTCTCCTGAAATGGACCTCGCCGGAGAACCAAACAGCCTCATCTCCGCCGTCGCTTCTTCTTCCTCTTCCTCCGTTTCATCAATCGACACGAGCCTCGATTGCGATTCGCCACGTGGCGGAGATGTAGACCACGAATTGCTCAACCACACGGCGGTTCCGTCGTCGTCGTCGGTGTCGGTTTCTTCGTCTTCCTCTGCTTCAGTCCAGAGAGTCCTCAGTTTAATCCGATCGGAGGATCTAGGTTCGAGGCTGTTTGCTGCCAGAGAGATCCGTCGGCTAACGAAGACGTCTCACAGGTGCCGCCGACACTTTTCCCAAGCCGTCGAACCTCTCGTTTCGATGCTCCGATTTGATTCCCCTGAATCGCACCACGAGGCTGCTCTGCTTGCTCTCCTTAACCTCGCCGTCAAAGACGAGAAGTACGTTCTTCTTCTTTTCTTACCCAATTCGAATTTGTTCTGTTTTCGTTATACGGATCTGATTAGTGATCCCTGAGCTTGGAATTAGTTGGATAATCACCACTAGATTAATTAAAATTTGTAGAACCGATAGGGGTTTGTGTGTCACCATTTCGTGCAAGTTCATGATGAGATCATTGTATCGTAAATGGATAATATCGATCGTAGCGATCTTATTTTTTTATGGTTTAAAAATCAGATTGGGTGGATCAATCAACTTTTGGTTGGGCGAGTGCTTTTTCTTTCCTTGGAGTGTACTCTATGTTTCTTCGATCTTCTTTTTTTTTTTTTTTGGTTTCCTTTTTGCTTCCTTTTGAAGGATTTTTGTTTTGGTTACTGAGGGAATTCAAATTTTGGCTTAGGGTTCGTCACAGTATACTCTTCTTTATTCCTTACTTTAAAAATTATTCTTTGGTTTATGCGGTTTCTGGAGAATTCTGACTTATGCTTTTTTTCTTTCTTTTATCGTGTTCTTGTTATGGTGAGGTTTCATTGGTTTCTAGCTGCAGATGAAATTTTGATGGATCATGTTAGCTTTGCTTTTATCCTTTTCTTTATTATCTTTGTCTTGACATTCCCATAAGCAAAGCAAAGAATCAAGTTGTAAGATAACACTAAAACAAGAATCTTTCTTCCTCTACCTAAACCCGCCGCAAATTCCATCGTCCTTTTGCTTCCATTAGAAACAGAGGACATTAACAAGCTAAAAACACACAGAGTATGGTTTAAAGTTAAGTGATAGTTTATAGATGAAAATCACCTGAAGTTAACTAACTCTCTTTGCTTTGGGGCAGGTATGAATAAAGTTTGCACTGCTTAATTTATTAGCTCTTTCTGCATCTGTAGGACCATATGGTTTTACCAGACTTATTTTTTTCTTTGCTGCTGAATCTTTCTTAGTTTATACGCAAACGACTTTGTAGTCAATTTCTTTTTTGGTCTAAACTCTGAGATCATCACTTTCTTTTTTATTAATGGGATCCATCATCTAGTGGGAGAGAAGAGATGGAGGCAAGCAAAGTAAAGATACTAGACTCAAGAAGCCTTTCCTTTTTCTTCACTTTTCCCCTCGTTTTTTTTTAGTTCTCAATTAAAATATCTTCCCTACTTTAGTTTTGGTGTCCCATAAACATTTATTAATTAGGTCGGCTTGATTTTCCTAAAGTGGCTACAACTCTAATTCCCTTGATTACAATTCATATTGACTTTTAAATTGAATGGCAGTGTTTTAACTCTTAGAGAAAGAAAGATTGATCTTTGCCTTAATGTTAAGAAACTTTATGTATGTGTCATTGTCTTTAAGAATATTCTCCTCTGAGACTATTATTCTGAGTTTTTCTGGTTTGATTTTTCAATCTTCAGGAATAAAGTGAGTATAATTGAAGCCGGTGCTTTAGAGCCAATCATCAACTTCTTACAATCAAACAGCCCAACACTTCAAGAGTATGCCTCTGCATCTTTGCTCACTCTCTCTGCGTCAGCAAGCAACAAACCCATCATTGGAGCTAATGGCGTAATTCCTTTATTAGTCAAAGTCATTAAGCATGGAAGCCCACAAGCTAAAGCTGATGCAGTTATGGCCCTTTCCAACCTCTCTACGCTCTCTGATAACCTAAGCATGATCCTAGCGACTAAACCACTCTCACCCATTCTGAATCTTCTCATATCAAGTAAAAAGTCATCCAAAACATCTGAGAAATGTTGTTCTCTGATAGAATCCTTGATGGTTTCTGGCGAGGAGCCGAGATCAGGGTTAATTTCTAACGAAGGGGGAGTTTTAGCGGTCGTGGAAGTTCTTGAAAATGGTTCATTACAAGCACGGGAACACGCAGTTGGCGTGCTTTTAACGTTGTGCCAAAGCGATAGGAGTAAATACAGAGAGCCAATTCTCAGAGAAGGTGTGATACCGGGACTGCTTGAGCTCACGGTTCAAGGGACATCGAAATCTCGGATTAAAGCTCAAAGACTTCTGTGTCTGCTAAGGGACTCGGAAAGCCCGAGATCAGAGGTACAACCCGACACAATAGAGAACATAGTGTCAAGCTTAATCTCTCATATAGACGGAGATGATCAATCCGGTAAGGCAAAGAAGATGCTAGCTGAAATGGTGCAAGTTAGCATGGAAAAAAGTTTGAGACATCTACAAGAACGTGCTTCCACTCTTGTCCGTCCTTAACCTGTGAGATCCGATCGCAAGGTTTCTTCCAAGAATTTACTGTGGATTGACCCAACGAGGGTGGTGAAGATTTATATATGCCAGTCCAGTGCCGGCGTTTTGGTTCTTAGTGACTGGTTTTTTTTCTCTCTCTTTTTTACTCAAAAAGTGTTCATAATAAAAGTTTTCTGTAATTTAAGTCTTTTTGTGTGTACATTACTACTACTATACAAACGCTTTTACTTAAAAAAAAGGTTTCGTTGATATCATAGTGCCATTGGAGTGTGATCATTATACAAACTCAACTTATCCGACCAAAATCCCTACACTTAAAAAGATTTCGTTTATAATTGAATGGGAATTTTACATACAATATGTTTTCAAAATTTTGTTCTTTTTGCCGGAGTTTAGATATCGAATTCAAAGCTCCTACTAGAGATTTATATTTTCTAGTATATATAAGACAACTATGTATATTCAAGATCTCATACATGGTATACATACAATAATCATCCAAAATTCAGCTCCACCAACTCTTTTGTAAAAGACCATCGAATTCGAGGCTTATGATCTCATAAATAAAAAATTTCACCTCACATATGTATCTTTAAAAGTTGATTACGTACGTGAAGATCAACCAACTTACACATGATTCATATTACCTCATCAATACAAACCCAATACTAAAAGTAAAGAGAGAGAATCGAACAATCTGTTTGTTTCTTTTAATGTTTGGAAGAAAATCTTATAACAAAAGAGACTGACATCAGTACTCGAAACTGAAAGTACGTTTTGGATCCGCCTTTTCAGAGACGCTCACGTTCACTCCCTCCATGTTAATTATCTCAACTGAAGAAGAAAAATATTATCACACAAATCATATTTTAATAGTAGTCTTGGATGAAGTAAGAAAGAAAGAAAGAAAACATACAGAATCGTTATCCTTCCATTTATTGAAAAACTACTATAAGCTCGAGCTACGATACATGATTTTCTTTTACTCCTCTCAACTCTCAAAGATACGCACAAGGTCCAAAAAGATAAAGTTATAAACTTTTAGGCAAAAACAGTTAAACACACAAAAACTCCGGGTTAAAAAGTAAACATAACTAAAAGTTACAGTCTCTTTCCCTAATTTTTTTAAAAACATTTATTATATTTCCCGGTTTTATGCGAGTCATCATCATCCATCATCTCTACTACTACTCTACCGCCGCGACTCAGCGAGTTTCCACGCCGACGTTGTGATGAGCGGTCTTGTCTGCCACCCAAGCATTAGACAACCGTCGTTTTCTTCAACTCTGTATCCATCTCCCGTAGCAAACACCGATAAGAGCATGCTCGCTTGTTTATACGAGCTAGATCCGAGATTAACCGGGTCAAATCCACCGGATCTCATCCGGTTTTTCCACTGTGGCAACGTCTCGTGTCGCTCCACCCGATCGTACCCTTCCGCCGCAACTACGTTGAGTATCTGTCTCCCTAAATACACCTCCGACATAACTCGGTCTTGACTCGGTAGACTGTAACTGTCTTCGAGCGAGTCGAAAAGGCTCGAGTAGTAATGAAGCGCTTCGTTGAACCTATCGAGGAAGACGACTCCGTTGTGGTTCGCTTCTTGCTCGACCACCGTTACAATACTCGGTTTAACAGCCTTAACTGTCTCGAGAAGCTTTTCGATTGAACCGGATCGAGCTAATAACCGGTGGAGCTCAAATACCGAATTAACCACAACGGTTTCTGATTCGGGTCGGGTTTCGAACATTTCCGGTTCTAGATCCGATAAACTCTCAGCGGCTAAGCCTTTGAATTCGAATTCGACGCCGATGTTCTGAGCGAATTGAGCTAATTTCCAACCTAACTGTTGAAGGGAATCCGAATTCTCGGTCTGCGGTGGACCGACTCCGGTGAGACGAAACGACGGAGGTCCACCGGGTCGGAGAGCTAAGGCTTGCATCAAAGCAGGCCATTGCATCCCTTGATTAAGCCCTAAATCGATGACGTGAACTCTACGCGACGTCGTGACAGCTTCGAGTATGGCTTGGTTGGCCGTGAAGTGAGCGAACTTAAGGTAAGGGCAAGACTCGTAGAAGTGCATCTGAAGAACCTCTTCGAATGAGCCGTCCGTCTCTGCCGCGTTGTAACCATGGTAAATACGACGAGCCAGGGCTTGGGAGAAATAGGAAGCGACTTTGCCCATGGCTCCGGCTTGAGAAGCTGCGAGTGTTCCCACGCGTTTCACGAGCGCGTCGGCTAAGCTGAGATTCTCCTGCTGGACCGCCTCAGCGCACGCCACAAGCGCGTGGACGAGTCTGACTCCGGTCTCTTGAGAGTCAACGAGCACCACAGAACGAGTTGACTCACCCGCTGACTCGCAATAGGGTTCTCCAAGTCGGATCCTCTTGCTGCTAGCTTCTTCGTCGTCAAAGACTTCTTGTTCTTCCTTTGGAAACGCAGAGAGACCAGGAATGGCCCTGAGATCGTATTCGGATCTAGCAACGCAAGTTCGGGTCGGGTCGAGATCGGAAGAAGCTGGGTTGTTAAGCTCGGAGAGCATGGTCTCGACCCAGTTAGAGAGATCAGATGGGTTGTAATGAACAGTGTCGTTTAAGACAGTAGAGCCAACGTCATCGTTAGACAAAACCATCTCGAGTTGCTCAAGCTTCTGTGCGACTTCAGCCATCTCAGAAGATCGAACCTTGTAGCCAAGAACAGCAAGAAGCTCGTCGTCCATGTTGTTGTTGTTGTTGTCATCAGCAGTAGACTTCTTGTTGTTGTTATCCACGACCACCGCCATTGAAGGACCTTCACCGGAACAGCGAGAAGGTGGCGGGTCCCAAGTTGTTTCGCCATGTCCTCTCTTCATCTTTCCTTTTAATAATAATAACTTTCTTGTGATCGATGGAGTTTAAGAGAGACTGATGAAGTTGATGAAACACAAAAAGAGAGTTATAGAGATATTTATTAATAAGTAGAAAGAAAGGAGTTTACTTTACTTCATGGGTTGGTAAGGTTTTTTATTAATGGTGTGGGGAATTTGAGAAAAATAAAAAAAAAAGAATATTGTGGGTCATTTTTGTGAGAGTTATTTGGTTAGAGACAATATTTGTGGAAAGAGAGGAGAGATTCTGATGTAAAATAAAACACGAGTGACGGAGTGAGAGTGAAGTGAGATCAGAGAGAGGTCCAATGAGCGAAGTGACCTGTGAAGTGTTGTTTTAAGAGATAAGAATCAGAGGCATGCCACTCTTCTTTGGCATCTGTTTCTTTTTTCTTTCCTATAACTTTTGTTTTTCTTAGTAATGGATAATTTATTGAGAAAAGTAAACTGTATTAACAGCCTATTGGTTGTTAATCTTTTTTTTTTCAATGCTTGTTTTCATTCTAAATCCAAATCTTTCTTAAGTTTTTAATCAAAACAAATTTCTAAAATTTTTGTTTAGAAGTTTTAGCAATAACACTTGATTACTTTGTATGTTGGAGTGTGCTTTCGTGATTCGTCATACTTAGTTGGTAAGAGTTTTTTTTAATAACACTGTCATAGTGTCTTAGTATATCACTCCTATACGATTACGACTTAATTGTGTTATTAAATGGCATTAAATTTTCTTGCTTACGACTTCGTTGTTCTTAAACCAAAACGGAACCCAAATTGCCTGTTAAGATAATAGCACTTACATTATGTCTTTTCAACGAGTTTTTTTTTTTCCTCTTTTGTGGAGGATTATATTTTTTTAATACAGTAATTAGTTTGACCGGACTAAACAATTATTATGAGAAGAAATATTATTCGTCTTTCATTCATTCCGTGATTATAAAAGATTGGAGCCAGGATGGTAATTAGTACAGAAATTTCAAGTTCGACAATACATAGGAAGCAAGACTCCTATGTATGGTTTGCTTACAGTAGGTACTGTCAGGTGTCATATGATCAGTAAGTTAAGAGATTCTAACTAAACTCCAGCATCATTATTATCGCTCTAAAAATACAAAAAAAGTATAATCAAATACATAAATAACATGATTCAACCATTACCCTTTATCTTTACCAAGTGCTAAATTAACCTTTTGAGGATGAGAAATCATAATGAAATAAACAATTTTTGTGTGTTATAGTTTTGCATTGTTTCATTGAGATAAAACCGCGGCTCAAGTCATTGAGGCGGACACATGAGCTAACCTCTCATGTGCCACGTAGAGGAAGACATAGCCTACGAGACGTCCACAACATAAGGTTATTACTTTCATAAAAATTTATGTCATATATCTTTCAGCAGTCCTACTCCTACATATTAATACCACATCAGCATGCATAATAATTAAGGTTTTTCGAAATCGTAAAAAGATCCTTTTGGAATATTTTTTTTATTAAAAAAAAAAAGTGTTGTGGGGATTGTTGTGTGTATGGTCCCAGTCGCAGCTAGCTACGAAGAAAACGATATTCGTTTTGATGTGTTTAGGGGAGTCACATGGTGCATGCTTTTCCATTTCTAGTCATTTGATGTAACTTGTTTGTCTAATTTTGCCGCTTCTTTTTTTTTTTTTTCTTTTGCTTTTGTGGTTCATATTGTGTTTTGCTACTTTCAATTTCAATGCAGCGACACGCCAAATCGTTTATTTCTCTGTCACCTTCCTTATTCACTACTACCTTTCAAGTTTTCTTAACTACATCATCAAACTGCGAGTATTTGGACCACTAAACAAAACAAAAAAAAATTATGAGCCTTGGTAACTCCCATCCCTTTACCGAGTATTCAAATCAAACTCCCCACTTCGTCGCCAGTTCTCTTGTTCACCATTCTCATTTTCTTCATCATTCAAGAAATCATCTAATGGTTCCTTCTCCTCTTTCTGGCTATTATTGTTGTTATTGTTATTCCCCCATCCGTTCATCAGCATCATCATCTCATTAGGGTGCATGTTACGCCCTTGCTCTCCATGATTCCCAATCGCATTAGCTCTCAACGGGTTACGCGCCATCATCTCGGCATGAGTTTGTTGCGACTCTGCTGCTCTCACTTGCTGTCCTGCTGCTTGTGCCATAGCAGCCATTCTTAGCCTCACCTCCTGAGCTTTCATCTCCCTATCCAGTTCCGTTTTCATCTCAATACATGCTTTTCTCTCGTCTTGCAGCAAAAGTTGTTCAATCATCAGCCTTTCCTCGGCTCTGGCTTCTCCATCGCTTCTCTCCTGGGTTATCATGTTAAAAGTTTGGACTTGTTCCTCAAACTTAGCCGTGAATTCTGCAACTTTGGCTGCAATGTTGTTATCCCATAGTTGACAGAGAGGTAGCGTCTGGCTTGTTGGGTCTGATTCAAGGATTTTAGCCTCTTCCTCTGCTTCGTAATCTGCTACAACGTGATAAGGTAACAATCTGCATAGATGGTAAAATGAAACAAACAAGAGATACACAGAGAACGATTAATCCATAGCAATGCATATGTAAACAAACTTCATAATAGATAAGAATGAAGATGGTTCCACATTGAACTGAGCAAGAGAATAATAAACATTTCATATATGCACCAATGAGAGAACCAGAAGATCTAATGCACAAGAATATCTTGGTAGACCCAAGCTGATCAACAGACACAACATCAAAGCCACAGGGTATTAAAAATAGAAAATTTTCTGCAATCCCAAGAAAAAAGTGGAAGAAGGTCCAATAAAGCATCGGCCTTTATGATAAAAGATGACAAGTCAAATCCATAAAACTAATTGGATATACCACTACAGAATCTTTAAAGCTAACAGCAATAACAACCAGAGAAATCAGTGAGTAAAAAAAAATCACTAAAGTTGGAAATTTTAAGAACCCATAAAATCAATTCCAATTCTTAATAAGACGAACCTTTCACAAGCGTCTTCGAGAGAAGCGAAAGGCCTTTTGAAATCGGGATGGCAGACACGCCAAGCGTCCTGGTAAGCGAATTGCATCTCCGATTGATTCGAAGGACGCATCAGTTTCTGCTGTTGTTGCATCTGTTGCAGTTGCTGTTGCTGTTGCTGCATCATCATCATTTGCTGACTCAACGGCACACTCTGCTGCTGTTGCAGTTGCTGAAAGTTATTCGCTTGTTGAATCAAATTAGGGCTAGGGTTAGCGTTCTGAAGAAACGGGTTAACGGGTCGGTTCTGGATTAACCCCGGAGGACGGAGATGAGGGTCAATGTTCAACGGAAACCTCGACATCGTCGCCTGTTGCTGCTGCTGTTTCTGCAAATGCTGCATCAGAAAGAGCTGTTGTTGACGCTGTTGCAGTTGTTGCTGTTGCTGCATTTGAAGAAAGAGTTGTTGTTGTTGCAGTTGATGCTGCTGTTGCTTCGATTCCTCCATTCTCTCCGGTCAAATTTCGAAATTTTAGGGTTTCTGTTTGCAAACTGTTCTACTTCTCCGCCATGAAAATTGGACAAGGAACTAACACTATTTGATATTTATATATCAAAGCCCATTATTAACACTATCAAAGCCTATTAAAGGCCCAACATGTTTCAACACACATGAGATTAGTCCCTTTTTGATAATACACATACGAGCACGACAAATAAGCCCATTAGGCTTTTTAAGGGATAATACAAATTACAAACAAACAAAAGCAAATACTACTTGTCACTTTCTCCTTGGATAAATATTGGCCTTGAAAGGGCTCTTCATGACCATTGTGATGAACTGTTGCTTCTCGGATAGATCAACTTCTTCACCTTCTACACATTTCCACTCGAATTTCCAAACCAAATTGGCTATGTAATATTCGAGGTGAAGCAACGAAAGGGCGTAACCGGGACACATCCTTCGTCCCGCTCCGAACGGCATCATCTTGATCTCGCGAGTTCCGGTCATATCGAAATCATATGCTTCCCCATTCTCTAGAAACCTTTCTGGTTTGAACGTTAGAGGATCCTCCCATATTTTCGGATCCCGGCCCATTTCTCCTACCATGAAGTTTATAGTACCTAATCCCAAACAAAATTAATTACATAAATGATTTGACCAAATGATTAACCTAAAATTTTCTTTATATGATACCAGTTTTTTAAGAACATAATACTAGTTTCACAGCTTATTAATGTCCAAGTTTCCAAATATGTTAGTGCATGGTTACACGTATTATGTGTGAAATTTACTAAGACTGTAATAATGTTTTTACCTTGGCGTGGAACGAGGAATCCACCCAAAACGGTGTCGTGTGTGACCTTATGGTAAGACAAGTAATGACCAGGAGGGTATCTTCTTAAACACTCCAAGACAACAGCTTTGAGATAAGTCATCTTTCCCAAGTCCTCTTCTTTGATCTCTTCTCGATCATCTGCTTCTCCAGCCAGGACACTCTTCATTTCCTCGTATACCTTCCTCTGTACCTCTGGATACTTCACCATTATCGCCATAATCCACTGCATCGCCGTTGCCGTAGGATCCGTAGCTGCGTTTAGAAACTCCGAGCACAGACTTACGATCTCCGATTCACTCAGCTTCCTCTTCTTTTCACCTTCTCCCTCATCCGTCGGAACCTCTAGATTAAGTAGCGTGTCGACGTAGCAGAGAACATCTCCGGCGGTTTCTTTGCTCCTTGCGTTCACGTATCCGAGTATGACGTTCTCCTGAGATTTCCTTAGTTCTAAGAACTCTTTCCATTTTCGCCGGAGCAAGAACTTGGTCACGCGTGGGAAGATGTTGAGGACGCTGAACTTGGTGTAGCTCATAAGCATTTTGTACTGAGCTTCTTCGATCTCTCTGATCTCTTCTCTTCTCAGCTTCTCCCCGAAACACATGAGAGCCAGCAGATAAAACATGGCGTGACGGAGATGATCCAAAGCATCGGAGACATGCCCTTTCTCTCTCTGCTCTGTTTCGAACAGATCAACAAGAATCTCGAGAGACCATTTCCTCGAAGGCGCATGTGCTTTCACGCGCGCCGGCTGGAGGATTTCTGAGGTGAGGTTGCGGCGGAGGGTTCTCCAGAGAGAGCCGTAGACGGAGGAGTGGATGTCGTGCTGGTTGCTGGTGATAACTTTGGTGGTGGGGAGAGCGATAGGACGGTCGGAGAAAACGGCGCCGTTCTGGACAAGGGCTTGGTGAGCGAGTGATCTGTCTGTGACCCAGATGGAAGGTTTGGAGCCAACGTGGAGCGTTATGATAGGACCGTGACGGGAGGCCAAGTCACGGAGAACGCCTTGGAAATCGGAGAAGTTGTTTTTCTTAAGCCAGGTGATGTTTCCGATGACCGGGAAACGAGGCGGTCCAGGCGGGAGTTTGTGGGTTGGGGAAAAGAGGAAGAGTTTAAGGAAGAAGGAGAAGGTGAGAGTAGAGATGATGAGGAATATGATAGTGGTGATCTCCATTGCATGCGTTAACTCGTTGCTCCTCTCTTGCTTCAAAAGTAAAACTGTTATTGTTTTTCTATAATTTATAAGAGAAAAATGTATGAATGATATGTCTATAAAAGAAAGAGAAGAGAGAAGGTGACCAAAGAACGAAAGAAAAGAAAGAACTCGTTTTCTTCGTTTTCTTTGTTTTCTTTGTTCAGGCCAATCTACATTTGAATTCATATGTGTATAGACGCTAACGTCAAAGTAGTACTATGATGACGATGACTCGAAAACTATTTTGGTTCAATTATTATTTTTTCTCTACTAAATCTAGACCTTTGATTTCATGATAGCATGTATCTGTCTATGTACACTTGTAATTTCCGTCTACCCAACGTGTCGTTGTGTCATTCTCAAACAAACGTATGCGATATATACTGTACTTACGATCCGAAAGAAAGAAAGAAAAAAAATATACTCGTATAGAAAAAAAACTGACGAGTGACAATATGCAAACGGTAACGTGTACGTTGCTTGCTGCTAGATTTTGTTTTCTTTCAATCGTGTAATGAAATCCCAGAGATTAACATTGTCAGTTACTTTGTAACCGTCCGTCTTCATCCAATTTTTTTTTGGCTTATTTTTTCATTGTTTCGTTTTATATCTATACATATATACGATATTACCACTGGGCACTGGATATAGACAACATAGTTATAGAAAGTTTCCCATGAGCCGATGAGCGTATTTGGATCCAAGAGAAAGCCCAAACAAATGTAAAGGGACTCTAATAATTTTACTGATAACTGAACGACTCCACTGAGCTCTAGAGCGAAGACAATAACAAACTTTAGGATTTTTTGGTTCATCTCTTAAACACATTTACTACGCCATGTATCTCTGCTACGAACCTCTCCATTGCCCGTACCGGCAAGCTAATCGCCACAACGGTACCCGTTGCACCTTCTTTATTCTTAAACGGCACGTAGAAGCTCACTCCCGGGAAAACTGCGATACCGGCCTTTGCGGTTCCACCATACACTGGCTTACCCCACGGTCCGAAATCAACTTTTCCTAAATCAAAATGTCGCAAATCAGATATTATGTAGTTCCCCGCCATCACAAACATAGGCCGGCCTTTTGTCGCCATTAGGGCCGTCACCGAGCGGACGTAGTCCTCCGTTACGCTGGCCTTCGTTTCTTGAATCAGCCTCAAGGCAAACTCAAGCGGTTTCTCCATAAGATCTCGTGCAGTCGCTATTGCAGCGGGGATGACAAACACATTTCCGTAGTAACCGGGCGAAAGCGGTGGGTTGCTAAACTTGGCACGCGAGTTGATGATGCAAGTAAGTCGCATCTCAGTGTCGGGGTCAGGGTTCAACGCTATTGTCCGACAACGCCACAAAAATGACGACAACGCTTCAAATGAGGTATTGCGGAGATCAGGCGGAAGGAGTCTCCGTATGGCCGAGATCTCTTCCGTGCTAAAGAAGAAAGAACGGCTAACCAAAGGTTCTCCAGCGGCTACTGCATTGATTTCCCCCTGATCTTCGTACTCACGGTGCGTGTGTGTCACGCGCGCCTCCGAAGCGTTCACCGTCAACAAGTGTCGATCCCATACGGATGGAACCGAGGGCGCTTGAAGGCCACACGCCAACTCGCAAAGTGACTTTAGAAAGAGCGACAGACCGGCTCCATCGGTCATGGTGTGGTTGAAACGGAGTGCAAAGATGAATCCGCCGCATTTCAAGCGCGTGACCTGCACGTGATCCCATTAAGTTTTAAACAAAAGCTCTGTTTCTTTCCATCTTGACAACAACTGAACAAACAAACTGTTCTAAGATAATGAACCTGGACAAGAAGCAACGGAGTGTTGAGGACCTCACTCGAACCTTCCACGTCAAAGAGAAGCTCTTCTAAGCAAGGGAAAGGAGGGAGAAGAGCATCAGCTTCCTCCAACTCGGCAAGCGCCACCTCAGCTTCAGCCTCGATGAACAAAACGCCTTCACCGGTACAGTCCACCGCCAGTTTCCGGTTTGAAAGCTCCCGGAGCCTACCAGCGAAGGGATAGTAGTAAACCAGCACGTCGGCTAGGGCTTTCTTTATCACTTGGACCGGATCGAGGTTAGTCGTAAGATTAGGTCTATAGAAAAATATAACCGGAATTTGAAATCTTAGTCCTTGTTGGTCATCTATGTCGGAGAGAGGTTTCAGCTCTCGTGGCGTTGGTTTAGCCGGAGTGACTAGCTCTGGCAGACGGCGATGCACCTTGAACGATAGACCTGTGGTGGTAGATGTTGGCAAAGACACTTGATGATGGTCCATAGTTTGAGACTTTGAAGATAGAATCGTACATGAGATACTGTCTTCACCACACGTACATATATATACGTAAATAATTGCACCTGTTAACATCTTTTATTAATGGACTGAAAGCAAGTAGTATTCTATTTGTACTAACAAATGCTAATACGAGGAGAGTGTCTCGAATATATTAACTTACTGTTACTGTATTAGTAGTAACGAATAATCTCTTTTACTGTTTCTAGCTTGAAAACCACAGCATTTAACTTAATTTACTTTTGTGGATGTGCATTTTCAGTTTGGCAGAATGATTTCTTTCTTTTTTGGATCATCTTTAGTACACACATGTTTCTTTTGTGCAATTTTATTCACTTATTAACACACAAATTGAAGATGTTATATAAATTCCCCATGTGAAAAATATACCACCGTTCATTCCAACTAGCTCTTAAAATTTATTCGACTTCAACCAGTTAGATATATTTGTATATCATCTACAATTAACAAGCATGTGACTGGCTGCATTCATCGTAAAAGGACAATAAACAAGATAAAGACTTTTTTGTGTGTGCGAAATTCCAATCATAATTATATATAACACAGCTTTTGAATTTTACACTAACGAGAAAAAAAAACGACATAAACCTTGAAAGCTGTTTGGCCCATCACATTATACAGCAATTTGGCGAGGACTCCAGCATCTCTGGAGATCTGTGGATGAAAAAAACATGAAACATTGCTTCTTTTCCAGGTGGGAGAGATCCAAAACCCAGTTGAGGAAATGAGGGATAGATAGGAGAAGAGGAACTCACATTTGGCCTAGACTTGCGAAATCAAACCCGGGATCGATCTCTTTAACTATGTCACTCGGGGGTTGTCCGCATTCTTGCATCTTCTGCATGATCTCCATTATCTTAGATGAATTGTTCGGTTCATTCTCGTAAACCACATTGAGTTCTTCGATTAATTTGTACTGTTGTGAATAACGATTGAAGTCTTCTTTGCTTAGACTGGCTTCATTCTCTTTTAGCCATTTCGTATATCTTGCACCGATCTCTTTCATTGGTTCGTGGAGAATATCCTTTGACAATAGCTGTTGCATCATCGTTTCGACAATTGATTCCAAGTCCTATGCAAAAACAAGAGGAGAGTCAACAAAAGCCGAAGCTACCAGGTAGAATCATCATCTGGATATAGCCTCAACATGAACATAAATAATATATTCTACCAGACACAATAAAAGAAATCACACATCGGTTCCGTCCTGAGGACATCGCATCCAGTTAGAATATAAATCAGGCTGTTCTACTTAAATCTACTTGTAGTAAGTAAAGACAACATAATCTCTTCAACTGGTGATCAAAGACTACAGTCTCGAGTTTTAGTTCGATTAAGTAGAAACAGATTCAGTTTCAGGGTACTTATTTACCTTAGATCCAGCAAGATCCTCGAATTGCTTGAGGAAATCCTCTACCATGCCATCATCATCAGAAGCTGGCTGCTGCTTAGAAGAAATGGATTCCAATCCTTTGACAGTTTCCCTAGTTTGTTCCCTAAGCTTATCAAGAGCTTCAGTAACATGATCCTGTTTCGAAACCTTTTGTTTTCCTTTCTTTTTGCTTCTCAAATCTGGTAATCCCATCCCAAGACCTTGCACTCCACTCGGCAATAGACCTGTCTCTACTTTCTTCTTCTCCTCCTCTTGGGCCTCCCTTAGATTTCTACAACAGCACATTCAAAATTGATAACAACCCAAAAGTCTTTAACTTGGGATATGAAAGTCTCTAAGCTCAATCTAAAACATATACACAGAGCAGCTCCTATCTGCAGAACTGAGACTACTAATATGAAAAGTTTGAGACTTTGAAGCTAAACACATTGGTTAAAGGAGTAACCTTTGAGAAAGATTGAGATCTTTAAAATCATCCAATGCACCTGAGAGACAGAACCACAAAGAAACCCCAAAAAATCTTAATGAATTAATTAAAAAACCCCTCAAAAGACAAAACCTTTCAACAATCACGATAGATATAGGAGGCAGGAACACAATTTACATAGAATTAGGAGAAACGTCGATCAAAATGAAAGAGAAACTTACTGTCGAGAAGCTCGTCTAAGTCATCGGTGTGACTGTTCGCCATTTTTTTAACGAGTTTCTCTTTCCCTCTCTCTCTCTATCTCTCTGTATACGCAATTCACAGATAGGGAGCGGAATAATATCAGAGAAGAGAGAAAGATTGACAGACGAAGAAACCTTATTTGGGTTTGCCTTGTTTAGTTTAGACGGTGCGATTGATATGACGCTTCTTTGAGTTGCGGTGAAGCAAATGGACTCCATCCAACGGCTGAGATCACTTTTTCAGTTTTATTATTTTTTTTTTCCGACAAAACAAAATCCACAGAAAAAATAAATTGATTTTTCACCTTTACAAAGAAAACTGCTATTTTAAGCTCGGTTAGGCTTAACCTTAAAATCGTTTCCAAACACGCAGGACGTTGGAACTTGGAAGTAGCCAAGTAGGATGGAGTTTTGTTGGAGAAGGATCCTCAGAAGAAAGAAATAAGCCATGGAAGGATGACCCGGAGCTGTCCGACGGAGATCCCATACCACCGGGTGAATTCAAAGGCTATGCCGTCAGAAGAGCTCTCACTATACTCACGAATCAGGTATAATTGATTTCGGTTTGGTTTTAATGGTTTTGGAATTACAATTGATTTTGGATTGGTTTACATTGGTTTTGAAAAGAAGAAAAAAAAGAAAAAAAAAAGCCACGCGACGGCAATTTTAGAAAAAAGTGCGTGGAATCGTAAAGGCATGATTTGGTGGGTTAGAGAACCCACAGGAATTGCCTTCACTCGCGCAACTCGCGTTTGGTGCGCGTGGGTATGAAATAGAGCCTTCTGATTGGCTGAAATAATTGAAATAGTAGTGATATAGCTCTCATGTTGCTCCGTTTTTATATATTTTTACTCTGTTTTTCGTCTTTCTTCGCTCATTTGACGTCTCTGGTGATTGTATTAGCTCGGTTTTGCCGACTCACAGTGATGCAGTGTTTAGGGGTTGTGGGTCTTGAAGAAATATTCGTTCAAGAGGTCTTTTTCATTGAACATATTAAGTAACAACTAGATGCAGAGTCGGTTTCTCTCTATAGGATGATATGTCTGGGAACGGGTTACAGGGTTAGTAATTCTTGCTTAGCTCTTTATTCTTTGGTAGTCAGTCATATACCGAAGAATCCAAGTTGTGAGATGATCTGGTGTGTTGGAGACTTCTGTTTCTGAGCTAGATAGACCACATTTTTCACTTAGCACCCGCATCTCTAGATCCCATCTTCTTTTGTCTAATCTTGATTCGTTGAAGAAGCTGCTGAAAAACAGATCAAAGTTTGTGACAGTTATGTGTTAATATTACTCTGCCTTGATTTCTCATTGGTTCTGGTGCAGCATTGTCGTGGTATCACCGGCGTTCAAGGGGAAATCCTCAGTGAACAGGCAGAGGATGGTGTATAAAGCCATCTGGGAGGAGCTTCAGAATGTGGTTCATGCCATTGATCAGATGACAACAAACACTTGTTCAGAAGTTTGTTACTTCAATCTTGCTTCCTATAATCCTAGCGTAATTGAAGAAAATGACAGCATAAATCAGCCAAGGAAGATGTTTGTGCCTCCATTGACTGTGTCTTCAGACAGGTAACACTTATATTATCTAGTAAACATTTCATCTTTAAAAAAAAATAATCTTCAGGTGGTCTTGAAACCAACAAAGTCAATGATGTGTGTTTAACAAAACATATGAGCTGTCTTTGTTTTGTTCTTTATAATATCATAGATAGAGATATCCTTTTAAAGTCTTTTAGTTTTGTTCCTTACTCTTATCTTACACGAGTTAAGGTTAGTACGGCAACTCTTTGTTTACTGTAATTAATCTGTCAAACACAGAGGTTAGCCATTTCAGTCTTCAAGTTCAAGTAAATCCAGATCAGATTTTTGTAGCGTCTGTTAAACCTCAAACTATCTCCAAAGTCAACTCTTTTCTGTAGATCATATGATGCAACCATTACTTTTGGGTTAAGCTATAAACACAGTTCATAAAACATCTATTATATATATATGTCTCTTCAGATCATTTAAGAACCTCAGAAGAGAAGAAAGAACCCCACGGTGAAAATGAAGTTGTTTGATGCTCATTGTCACCTCCAAGACAAGAGGGTCATCGACAAAGCCTCCGAGCTCATATCTGCGGCTTTAGCTGTTGGTGTTACCAATTTCGCAGTCAACGGAACCTCCGAGGTATTTTCCCAAATTTTCCTGATCATTGGTTACTGTTACACATTTGTATACATATATTTTAAACAGGTTTTGTGTATGGAGCCAGAAAGATTGGGACTTGGTGAAAGAGATGGGAGAGACGTATCCTTCTGTTGTTCCTTGCTTTGGAATTCATCCTTGGTATAAATTTTATATGCAGATGATTTCCAGTTGATGCAAAAAGGATCAGAACAAAGCTTATTCCTTTTCTTCTCTATGTTATTGGTTTGCAGGTTTATTGCTGATAGAAGTCCTCATTGGTTTAACACATTGAAGAAGTTATTTGAGACCAATCCTACTGCTGCTGTTGGAGAAGTTAGTCTCTTTATCTCTTGATTCATCTAAACTCTTTGTCTTTAATTTTTTATTTTTTTTTAATGAATTCTGAGATGTTTAACTTGTTGGTTAAGATTAAGTATAAACCGTAGATGACATGTTTAAACTTTTTTTATGAATTCTGAAAAACATCTCCATTTTATTTTGTCTTTTCGCAGATTGGGTTAGACAAAGGTCCCTTAGCAGCAGGAATTGATTACTCAGACCAGCTAGTCGTGTTTCGCCCACAGCTTGAACTTGCAAAAGAGCTGAACAAACCTGTAGCAGTTCATTGCATCGATGCATTCGATGATCTGCTCGAGATAATGAGGTATGTAATACACATATCTACATGTTGCATTAGATATTGAAGGGGGAAAGCCTATTTATATATGATTTTCGATATGTGGCACTAAATTTCTCGAAATATATACACGCAGATCTGTAGGGCCTTTTCCTGCTGGTGTGATTCTTCATTCATTCAATGGTTCAGCTGAAGTTGTTCCTAAACTCGCAGAGCTTGGTGCATACTTCTCTTTTTCTGGCTGGTTCACTTACATTGATGAGAAAGTTGCAAAGAAGACCTCGAAATCGGTTTGTTTTTGTTTTCCTCTGTAACAAGACAACTTCCAGCTGAAAAGTATTGATTTTTCTTTTCTTAACGGGTGTGGTGTAGATTCCTTCCGATAGGTTCTTACTGGAGACGGATTCACCCGACGGGTTACCAAAATCAGATGAGAGTTCTTCGGATCCAAAACCAACTCTTAATGAGCCTGCAAACATTCTTGCTGTAAGTTGGTTTTTTTTTTGTGTGTGTGTTCTTGTTTCTGCTGATTAGATAACACATTACTTGTCTGATGTTGAACAGGTACTAGATTATGTTGCGAACCTGTCAAACATGAAGAAAGAAGAGGTGGCGGAGTTAAGTTATGTAAACACTGTGAGGTTGTTCTCTTATCCAGGTTCTAAACTGCTTACAGAACAGTAAAAATGGTGTCTCACTACACAGAATTGTGACATCATCTCTGATCAAAGAGGCAAAAGAAGAACACATTGTCTAATCATCATCTTCTGCTTCAGCTGTTGTGTGTAATTATTAGTTTGTCGTTGTTGATGTCTTGTGTAAAAAGTTAACCAGTTACATGTTGTTTGATTTATTTGGACATTTTACATTTTCTCTTATAATAAGTCCCACTATTATATTTAGAGAAAATTGTATTTTCTGCCATGAACAGTGTCATTTCTTCTAAGAAATGCCACTTTCATTTCAATCTTCTAAGAAATGCCATATGACCCACTTTAATTTATTAAAATGTCAATTCTATCCCTCACTCAAACTTTCTCTCTTTTCTTTCATTTTTTCTCATCTCTTTCTTTCTCTTCTTCTTTCATTTTTTCTTTCTTTCTTTCTCTTCTTCTTTCATCTTATCTTTCTTCAACAACAAACAAATCTCTCTACTATTCCGGCAGACTAGTTCCGGCGAACCATTTATGGTGGACCAGTTCCGGCGGACCAGTTGCAGATCCGGCGGACCAGTTGCAGTTCCGGTGGACCAGTTCCAGTTCCGGCGGACCAGTTCCAGTTTCAGCGGAATATAACCAGTCTCAGTAGACCAGATCTGATAGACGAGATATGACAGACCAGTTTCGATGGACCAATTCTGGAGTATCAGATCCGGCAAACCAGTTTCAGTGGATCATATCAGGTGAAGAAGTTACAGCGGACCATAACCAGTTTTGATGGACCAGAATCGGTAGACCAAACTTGTCCATCCTACAGATTTCTTGAAACCACAAGAAATTAAGCAGAAGATAAAACAAATGATGCATCTATGGAAGATATCATCAATGATCCATCTAGGTATACACTTTCGATCACACATTTGTGCGTTGATGGACTAGATTCGGTGGACTAGATCTGATGTCTGTAATATGTCCATTTTTTATTTCTTAATTTGTTGTTCATTATACGTATATAGTAAAAGCAAAGAGTATCGGCACAAAAAAAAAACTTGTCTATTAATTAATGTCCATAATTGATTTATGTCAGATTTTTTTGTCTTCTTTCTTTGAGGGTATTTTTGTCTTTTTATTTTACAATAAAAATAAATATGGCATTTTACAAAATACAAAATTGAAAGTGGCAGTTTTAAAAGTTTGAGTTTTGAAAGTGGCATTTTACATAAAATTCCCAAATATTTACTAGTCCCCCGTTCAAGCAATGAGTTGATGGTTAACGCCTTTTCACACCTATCTTTTGATATTAATAAAAAATTAATGAGGAAAAAAAATTGACTGTTGTAAACAGTAAAAAGTAAAAGTAGCCGTTGTAATCCGATATTTTTCAAGCTTTGTTTTATATTTCCTCTTATAAGTCCACGATATGCATTCTCTCTGCTTCATCTTTCCTGAGAAATCAGAACCAAAACCCAAAATCTAATCCTTTTCATCTGATTTTTTTTTTTAAAATAAAACATGGTTCTCTCCTCTACAAAGAGAGAATCGATCGCCGATGATAAATGGATGATCCATGTTTCATGTTTTTATGATTCAACATTGAAGTGAAGCAGTGGGTTACTTCATCATCTCATTTTTCCTGATTGAATGATCTCTCTCTCCCCCTCAAACCATTCTCACACCATCCTCTCTCTGTCTTGAGAATGGTTTGAATTCAGTTCAGTTCCGTAAGCTTTTTGATGGGGGCAGCAAGCAGCAAAGATGGTTCCGGATGAAGAAGAATAACAGAGTGTTTCGTTGATCGATGATGGTGATGATGGTGATATATCAAACAAAGACAGTAAGTAGCTCACATCAAGGCTTTGTTCCTGTCTTAATCTTGCTCTTTATTATTTTTTAAATATGAAATATGATATTAGTAGCAATGCAATGATTTTTTTGTTTCTTTCTTAAATTTTCTTTTATCTGCAAAAAGATCCGAGTGCCGTCGGCGTTTTATCAAAGTGGTGGTGGATATCACGGAGAGAACTACACAACGGCGTGCTGGGCTCACGTGTGGCCGTGTCTCCTTGTTAATGGGCTTTCCTCTCTGGGCTCTTTTTGCTACCAAAGTCCAACCAGGTAAATCAAAACATCATTCCTTATTAAAAGTTTTTCTTTTCCGGCAAATCAAAATTCAAAATACATTGATTAATAAATGTTTACAAGATGCAGAAATCTGTCAATACAACCATTTACGCAAAACAAGTTTTTCTTTTCTTTCCAGGATAATGTTTTCAACTAAAATCCTTTTCACTCATAAAATGTCGTTTTATATAAATATTTTTTTTTTTTAACATAATTTTTTTTTTTTAACAAAGTTAGTTAAGTTGATAGATTTTTAATACGTTGAAAACAAACCGATTTTAGGCATACAGTCCAAAATTAATTTTTTGGTCCGTTAGTTTGGTGTTATAAGTTCAACATGTTTTATCGTAATATAAATTTAACACTTAAACTAATGTTTTTATTTTATTTTATTTTCAAAATATTTTTTTGAACTCACAAAATATTTTAACATAAATAACTAAAAAGTTCTTATTTAAAAAAAAATTAGTTTAAGTTGTAAATTTTTATTACGTTGAGAATAAACCGAGCTTAAGCATCCAGTCCAAATGATTTCCTTTGGTCCGTCAGTTTGGTGTTATAAGTTCAACATGTTTTCTCGTAATACAAATTTAACACTTAAACTAATTTTTCTTTCTATATCATTTCCAAAGTAATATTTTTAACTCACAAAATGTTTATAAAAAATAAAAATATTTTTTAAAAATAGTTTAAGTTGATAGATTTTTAATACGTTGAAAACAAACCGAGTTTAGGCATCCAGTCCAAAGAATTTTCTTTGGTCCGTCAGTTTGGTGTTTTAGGCTCAACATGTTTTTCATGTAATATAAAATTTAACATAAACTATCTTTAAAAAAAGTTTTTTCTGTTCTTTTCAAAATAATGTTTTAATATCTAAAATCAATTTATTTTTAAATATTTGATTATAATTAAATAATTTTTAATTCACTAAAAATAAAACAACTATTTAACACTATTCTTTTATTTCTATAGTATTATTTATCTCTTTTATATTTCTCAAACTTTAGTTTTCATAGTAATTAGAGATTAGGTGATTTTCTCAATTATCGCCAACGAGGAAGTGGTTTGATATGATGTTACAATTGTTCTCAGATAAATCCCACAATATCATAACAGTGCTTCCTAAATCGTAGCAAGCAACCATACTTTTCCTCTAACGTCTCTATATATTTCTTTTCTCTTTTTCCTTTTGATTTCAATCCTTACTATTGAGAAATACTTTCCTCCCTCTTTTTTGCTCTCTCTTTTTGTTTCCCCTAACATTGTTGCAGAACCCCGTGAAACACAAGCTTGAAAGTCTGCTACCTCGAAAATGTCAAATAGGTATACGAAAAACTTATCGACCCGGTAAGACTCTTAATCTCTCCTGTTCATGTTAATTTCACAAGAACAATTTAACAAACCTAAATGTTGATCGTTTGTAGAAGTTCAAAGTCACCTGATCTTGACCTCTATGTGAAAGGCGCCCCATTTCATCTTCACAAAGTAAGCTTTTGAATCCATTTCGCCAAGTTTTTTCTCTGTTTTGGGTTTTTTTCTGATTTCTAGGGTTCTGTGTTTATTTAGGAGACTCTAGCTAAGAGATCGGCGAAAGTGACGACATTAATCGATTGTAACAAGCTCCATGAACTGCGTTGGATCCTCAGAGACATGGACATCAACCCGAGTACCTTCGAACTCGTGGCTAGATTCTGCTATGGCTACAAAATCGAATTGTCATCTGAAAACATTGTCTCTGTGCTCTGCATTGCTTATTACTTAGAGATGAGCGATGATCATAGCTCTAACAATTTGTTGAATATGGCAGTAACGTTCTTGGAACAACGAGTTCTTATGAGCTGGAATGAAACCATGAAAGCTCTTCGTATCTGCACCGAGAGGATATTGGACAAACTAGCTGATGTTGGACTCATCGAAGTTTTCTTAGATTCTCTTGTCGAAAAGGCTCTCAACGATACTAGGTTGCTCCAAGATTTGATTACATTGCCTCTTCGGTTATATGAACCGTTGATCTTAGAATTAAGTAAGCACAATGTCTCGATAGAAAGTCTTGTGGCATCGGTCTGCAATTACACGAAAAGATGGGTTTTCGAGAAAGATTCAGGAGACGAAAGCTTTTCAAGACACAAGAGAGAAGTAATTGAAGCTGTTGAGAGGCTTTTGCCTCACGAAAGGGGAACTATCTCGTGTGGATTTTTGTTCCAATCGCTTAAAGAATCGATTTTTCTTGATGCTTGCTCTGATTGCCGAAAAGGGTTTGAAGTTAGGATAAGTTCGCAGCTCGACATGGCTACAGCAAAAGATCTCCTGATTCTGTTTCCAAAAGAAGATGGTTCTTATGACATCGAGCTCTTAAAACGAATTCTCAAGATCTTCTATAGTAACTATAATGTCTCAGATCTTTCGCGGTTTGTGAGTATAGCGAGAATGTTGGAAGATTTTCTGTTGGAGGCAGCTGCGAGTGACGCTGGTTTAAGGGTAGGAGCATTTAAGGCGTTAGCAGAAATAACGGTTGCTGCGTCTTGCGATGTGCTAAGATACTCTGATGGAATATATAGAGCAATTGATGTTTTCTTGGAGTGGCATCGAGACTTGATTGAATCGGAGAAGATGGAAGCTTGTAGAGTTCTTGAATGTAAGAAACTTTCATCCGAGGCATGTGAACATGCTTCAAAGAACGAGAAGCTTCCACTGCGGATTGTTGTGCAAGTTTTGTTTGTTTCTCAGACGCAGATTCGCAACAATGTGGCTAGAGAAATGAAAGATGTAGAGAAAAAAACCGAGGATCAGGTAGATGAAGATGATGAAATGGAGAAAATGAGTAAGAAGATGTTAAGTCTGGAGATAGAACCTGGTTACAGCAAGAAAAGAAAGATTGAGAATATTGAATGTGCTGTTCATTGCGAGAAGAAGAAGAAAAGTGTGTGGAGAGAAGTAAAGAGGAAGTTTGGTTGTATGACTTCTACTGTGAAAGCTTGCGATTGTCATAACAAGAAGAGGAAGAAGACTTATCGTTACTAATAACAAATCGCTCTTTTGATGTGTTATAATTTGACATGTGTTCTGTTTGGTATGTTCTGTTTTTTCCTCTGTTTCTGAATTTTGCTCTATCAAATATATGATTCAAAAACAAACCAAATAAACGTTCACACACTCTTCATATTAATATCCGGGAAAACAAAATACCACAATATTCAGAAGTTAAAATCTCTTTAACATCAAGTTCAATTATCACAAATCAAACAAGAGAAAAACTTCTGAACGAAAGATTTTGGATTCGAATGACGAGTAGATCCTTTAGAAAGATCAACGATCTCATGTTCATCACGACCTCCTTCTTTAGCCTTTTTGGACTCACCATAGAATCTAGTGAAAGCTTCTTCTACGTACTTAGCTGCATCCAAAACCTTCATATTCTCCACGAGCTTCAACGGGTAAATGTCTTTTATATGATCTCCTTTAAGGACAGCCGCTGCTTGAATCAACTCAATTTGAAAATCTGTGAGATCTTCGTCTCCTTCTTGAGTTCCAATGTCTATGTCTCTTGGCCGTGGAAGTTCTGGTAGTGTAACTGAAAGAATCAAGAAAAAAGAAAAGATTATATATAGAATACCTAATTTGCATCTACGATGAACCATAACGGTCTTGATAACCAATATATAGTTACCGGGGCAATCCGTCCTTGGACTGGTCCGGTTGATGACAGCATCGAGTGTTCCTGCCCATTCGTCACGCTTTGTAAGAAAGCTCTTGAGGTTGAATATTTTTTTCAGTGTTGCCGGAATTGATGAATGCTCATACTGCGACGTTGGCTCCGGTCCGTTTGGCTCGTGTAACACTACAAAATCATGTTAGCAAAAGTAAGTTTATTAAAATAATTGGGAAAAATTCAATTGAGAATATACGTACCGGTTCCAGGTTCAATCCAAGGTGAGATGAGCAATGCAGGAACCCTAACACCCAGTCGATCAAACTTAAAGTTATAAGGCTCAGGTCCAACAAGACCATCAGGATTAGGGACACCAATGACCGGCGTGGGTACATGGTCATAATAACCTCCATGTTCATCATAAACAACAACAAAGAGAATCTCGTTCCACTGAGGACTAGCTCTTAAGGCTTCGTAGATCTCTTTGACAAGGTTTTGGCCTTCAGCGACGTCGTTTTTGGGGTGATCATCATTGGCTGGAGCCGACATAATCTTGAAGTATCTCGGTTCAATGACTACATAGTTTGGAAGCTTCCCTGCTTTGCAATGTCTCTTGAAACTCAAGTGGTATTCATGGAAATTATCCACGTACTTCAGTTTCCTCATGTTCCTGATTCAATTTTGTTTTTACAAATTTGATTGATTGGATTATTACATTTACATGAGTCTATAATAGCATAACTAATAATTTTAACGAGTATCAAAAAGTATTAATTGGATAGTGGACACATCGGCTATTACATGAATGCTTTAAAAAAAAAAAAAAAAATTAGATTAGCAATCCTATATTGAAATATCAAGTTTAGTAATCCCCATCTGAAACAAATTATTCATAGAAAGAAACTGTACGAAAATGACAATTTTATTTTTCATACTATATAATAATTCTAGTACTAAGCAACTCCACTTACTCTCTAAACTACAAATCGAAACATTCCAATCCAAGCATGTGTCGTTTTCTTATACATGATCATTACGGAAACGTTTTTAAAAAAGGAAAAAAAAATCAATATGATTAAAATTCAAATTTCGTTATATTTCAATTAAGTAGATATATTGCAATCCAGGTGTCTTTATTATTCGTCGGTTCATCATTATCCTAATGTTATTATTTCTATATATTATATAATAAGATTTGCTTTCCCCCACGATGATATTTAATAATTCGTAACTCTGAGTTTTGTCTTAAATAATTTTTAAAAGAAAAGAGTAAAGCACTAAACGTATTATTATTACCTGTAAAAAAGGCAATTAGGAAAAGATTGGTAATAAATCCCAAACGTGAAGCCACTCTCTTCGAGTGATTCGAACACAGTCCTCTGAGGAAACCCACGTACGAGTGTGTTAGTGTCATTACTAAACGCACCGTTTGATGTCGCCGCGTGGACGTAGAGTCGGTTAGGCTGCGTCGACGACGGCAAAGACGAGAACCACCGGTCACACACGGCGAATTCTTGAACTAGTTCCTTGAACACCGGAAGTCTCTCAGGCGGGAACCCTTGCATCACTACTTTCTCCGACATACCTTTCGTGATAGCCTCTGCGTTTTGTACGAACCCGTTCATTTTCGGATCCGGGTACGGGGTCTCGTCGCTGAACGGTTTCCCGAACACTTGTTCGTATATCGCCTGGAATTTTTAAAGATACGTTAAAACAAAACCATATCAATCTCGCTGTTTAGATGTGCCTGAACCGAAAAGTCCAAGATAGCAGCAGCAGTATGAAATAATCCGGTATGATTATAGTTGAACCTGGAAAGAGTGACCGGGATCAGGATCAATGTTCTGAGATTCTTTGCCGAAGAAGATTTGAGGAGAGTTGGGGTCGGATGTGGAGATTGGGTTGGATCTTGGTTCGGATTCGGATACTCCATCGATTTCCGGGTTAAGCTCCTTGAACCAACCTAACATGTGGTCGAAAGACCTGTTCTCCTGAACCAAAACGACAACGGTTTTGATCGGAGAAGTCGATGAGCCACCACCAGAGCTCGTCTCCGCCACCATACTTCGTTACTTATGACCAAAAACAAAATCTGACTTCTTTCTTTCGTTGTTTTCTCACTTTCTTCCTCCTCTCTCTCTCTCTCTCTCTCTTTTAATTAGCTGTGTCCCGTCCCTTCTAAGTAAATAATAATGGTAGCCTTTATATAACTACTAGCCGTTGATCCGCGCTATGCGCGGAAGGTTTATAATATATTTTTTTATTTTTTTATTCATATTGTGATATTTTATTATATTTTTAATTGATTTTCAAAATATATTATAATTATTTTCCCTTTATTTATTATCTTTCAATACTCAAATTTGGATTAAAAGCATTTGATTCAGTTTATGAAATATCATTTTTTTCTTTTTGATCATGTTATAAACTAATTTTTTACTTTCAATTTTATTTTTTCTCTTTAAAATTTTATATATACAATTACGTAAATGTTGTTCTACCATAAATTTAAATTTTACTTCCAATCTAAAACTCAGTAGCTCATTTAAAATTTTAAACTATGATCAATTTAAAATTAAAGTTGAATTATATTATTACCACTAATATAAAAAGATTAAAGTATTTCTTATTTTAATATTTCATTTGTTTTACATAATTTATTTTTATTTATATAAACTTTCTATTAATTAAATAAATAACATAAATATGCACTAAATGAATGTTTTAAATTTAATTTAATATACAAATAAAAATGTGGCTTAGGTGACATCATGAGAATAAAGAAAAGCTAACTATATATATATACTAGCAGTATAATTTTGTTTCGTTGATTTATTATTCATAATTGTGATATTTTATTATTTTTTTAATTGATTTTCAAAAAATATTATAATTATTTTCTCTTTAATTATTATATTTCAATACTCAAATTTGGATTAAAAGCATTTGATTCAATTTATGAAATATTATTTTTTTTTCTTTTTTATCATGTTATAAACTAATATTTCACTTTCATTTTTTTTTCCTCTTTATAATTTTATATATACAGTTACATAAATGTTGTTTATTCTACCATAAATTTAAATTTTACTTCCATTCTACAACTCAATAACATATTTAAAATATTAAATTATGATCAAATTAAAATGAAAGTTGAATTATATTATTATCACTAATAAAAAAAATTAAAGTATTGTTTTTCTTATTTTCATATTTCATTTTTTTTTACATAATTTATTTTTATTTATATAAACTTTCTATTAATTAAATAAGTAATATAAATATGCACTAAATGAATGTTTTAAATTTATTTTAATGTTTAAACAAAAATTTGGCTTAGGTGGATGCTTTGCTGGAATCATGAAAAGAGAGAAAAAGCTAACTTTATATATATAGACTAGGTTCGGACCCGCGCTACAGCGCGGGGGAAATAATTACATATATATAAATTTTAACGGATTAGAATATGTTACATTTTAATTTTGTTAGATTGCAGTCGATTACGGTAAATCATATATTTGTATAATAAGTTTAAATAAAATAATAAAGAAAAAGCGAGTAAATAATCATATACTGAGTTTTGATACAATTAAAAACACGGTGAAAATTTAACATCACAAAATAATATTGCCGATAAATTATTCATTTTGACTATTTTTGTAGTAAAAGTATGAATATACGTAAAAATTACATATTTACAATATATTTTTTGAAAGTTCGACCCGTAACAGAATTCATTTCGTAAAAAACATTATTCGTAACTCGCTTTATCATTATAATTGTGATTTTAACAAACTACCCGTGCATTATCTAAAATTTACATAGTTTGATATATAATATATTTTATTAATAAAAACTATGTCTCCAAAATTACATTTACGTCTTCAAAAAAATTTCAATTTTTTAAATTCTAAAAGTTTTATATATTTGAACCTATTATTTATAATATTTTGAAACTATTTGAAATTTTAAATATGTTCCTGTAACAATGGTTTTAATATTGGTTATATTTATAATGACTTTAAACCATTGTCCAAAATATTTAACCGAGTGTAGTTGAGTATTATATGTTCGTTTTGAAAAATTCAAATTGCAACATATGCAAAAAAAAAGTTAAATTTTTATTTAATATTTATATAATATAATATAATATCATAAATTAAAAATAATATCAAATAAAAGTCAAAGAAAAATAATATTTTTTAAATAGACTGTATTAAATTAGTTAGAGAAATATTAGTAAATCCTTTAATTAGTTATGGAAATAATATAATACTAAAATTAGATTTGGAAAGTATCCGGTGTGTGTATCCAAACCCATTAATTTATCCAACTTTAAAATATCCAATCACAAATTTCGGGTAATTTTTTGAAATTGACCCGACCCGAAAACACTTTTTGTACTTCTCTTTTACTAATATAGGGATTACTGGTTTATTCATTCTTTATGATTAGTAAATTATATAATTGTATTGTTTTATATTTATTTACTGTATTGTATATTTCTTTGAGAAAACTCTTCCCTTTTTTTTTAATATATAAGTATTAAGCATACAACGTTCAGAACAACGAGATTACTGTTACTACTAATCATATTTGATCAGGTCGGGTGAATTTTGGGATATCATCGGCTCATCGCATTTGTTTTACTCTTACGGATCGGATCGGGGCAGAAGGCTTTTAATTTACTCTTTTATTTAGTGCATATGACAAAACCGTTTTAACAAAAATGACAGTTCTCATAACTCTTTCTTCTACTCGTAGTTAAGAGAAAATTAGAGCTACTGGCGGCGCATTCATATACAGTATATTGCATTATTAGTTAGTCTCTATCTTTGAAAATGGCAATGGAGTAGATGGAATTAGGTGTTGACCAATTATTATTGCTAAAACTATTTAGTCTATTGCACGTCTCCGTATGAGTCGTTTTATTAAATACAGAACAATAATTAATGAATAATTTGCAAACTATATTAGTTTTTCTTATGTTGATGGAGTATTACTTACATGGAGTAATTAATATATTATGTGCTATTATGCATAATGTCACACTATATGTTATAAATCAAAAGTACTTACTATCTTTTTAATCATTTCAATTATAAATTTGGACCCAGTAGCTAGCTGCTATATGGTTGCCTTTAATGACTTTAGCCTTTTAGTATATATAATATAGAGTACTCACCAATCGAATAATTAAAGTAGGTCTCATCTAATCTAAAGATTTATGCAAGAAGTTGAAAAATATATAAATAATTGTGTAAGTTCTTATACAACGAACAAATATTTATATACACGAGACAAGTAAAGCGCACACACACAGATTATAACAAGTAATTCCTAAATAATTTTACACTATTTAATTTCAATCATGGCGAACAAAGCAAGCGAACAACTTACTGAAAAAAGACGTTTGAGTTTTCGGTTTAGGAGTAGCATTTGGTGCTTCTGAATGTGATTGTGTTGGTGTCACAACATCAGCATCGTCCATGCAATAAACGATGTCGTTCCCATCACATCCTCTGTCTCTTGCCTTCCTAGACTCTTCCATAAACTTGTCAAACGCGTTCGTAACGTATTCGGAAGCGTCAGCAACGCAAGTTTCTTTGCACAGCTTGTGGATCAAATCTTCGTTTTTGTAGTCTCCTTTTAGTCCCGCTGCCATTATTACTAGCTCTTCTTGAAATTCGCTTAGTTGTGCTTTTTCTTTTGCCACCGTTGCTCTTAGCTTAACCGGAGTCGATAATGTTTCTATTTAAAAAAATACGAAATTCGAAGTTGTTTAAAATAATCATATATAATTTGTTCAATTATAAAAAAAAAAATGAAATTTACCAGGGCAATCATGTCTCGGTGAATCTCTCGTAATAATAGATTCAAAAGTGCCAGCCCATGAATCTCTCTTTGTCAAGAAATCTTTGAGTTTGAAAATCTTCTTGACCGTTGCGGGAATTGATGAATGTTCATATTGTGACCTTGGGTACGGTCCATTTGGCCCATGAAGGACTACATACCAAAATTGTTGTTTAATTTACATATTAGGATTTCGTTACATAAAATATGTCTATGACTGATAATTAAATACCTGTTCCCGGCTCAATCCAAGGAGAGATGAAAAATGTCGGAACCCTAACTCCGAGCCGGTTAAACCCAAAGTTATAAGGTGGAGGTCCCAAGATACCATCAGGATTAGGAACTCCTCCGAGAGGAGTAGGAACATGGTCGTAAAACCCACCGTGTTCGTCATACGTTATAATGAATAAAATCTCGTTCCATTGTGGACTCGATCTCAAAGCCTCATAGACGTCTTTCACAAGCTTTTGACCTTGGGAGACGTCATGAGATGGATGGTCGTCATTGGCCGGAGTTGACAATAAATCGAACCAACGTTGTTCCACTACGACGTAGTTTGGTAGCTTTCCTTCTTTACAGTCTTTCTTGAACTGTATTCCGTATTGGTGGAAACGTGTCAGATACTTCAGTTTTCTCAAGTTCCTGAAACAACACAAAATATATAAATAGAACGTGTATATTAATTATACTACAAATCTTTGGTTTTTAATTGTGGTCGTAACTTGGTAAAGAATTACTAAAAAATAAAATAAAAACCTATAAAAGAGAGTAGAAGGAGGGAATTGGTGGTAAATGCCAAAGGTGAAACCAGCTTCATCGAGCGACTCGAATATCGTCTTCTGTGGAAACCCTTCGATTAGCAGCTTTTTGTCGTTGCTCGTTGCTCCATGTGATGTTGCTGAGTGTACGTACAATCTGTTTGGCTGCGTCGACGCTGGAACCGACGCGAACCACCTGCCAACACACAAAGCAAGATCACCAAAATCTATGTAAACCGGGACAACTAAATTTAAGTTGAGTTAAGATTTTTGAACCTAGCTAACCGGTTTACCTATCACATATGGCGAAATTTTGAACCAAATCCATGTAAACCGGTAACGCGTCCGGTTTGAATCCGTTCATAACCGCGGAGGACATCCCCTTCTTGTTTCTCTCGGCGTTTTGAGCAAAACCGGACATGGTAGCTTGACCCGGGTTTGGATCCGGTTTATCTGAATCCCATGGCTTACCAAACACTTGTTCGTAGATATCCTGAATGGAGTGACCTGGATCCGGGTCAACGTACTGAGACTGGTCTCCGAATTCGACACGGAGAGAGTTTGGGTCGGAGGACGACGAAACCGGGTTGGATTTGGGATCAGATTTGGTGACGCCGTCGATTTCCCGGTTTAATTCTCTAAACCAGCCGAGGGTATGGTCGAAAGAGCGATTCTCTTGAACCAAAACGACGACGGTTTTGATCGGATACGATCCTGAGCTTTCCGTCCTCTCGACCATTTTTCTTTTGCGAGAGTTAAATCGTTTTGAGTATGAAAGAAGCTCGTGGGCTTCCCTTATAAATATATATATATATATATGTAGACAGTGATCATTGAAACAAGTAGTTTTTAGACGAAGGCCGTATAAACAAAAGAATAAATCACGTATTATCCCACTGAATTGGTATAACGTCAACTATTCCATATAAAGTTGGAGGGAAATAAAAAATAATTACCAGTTTTGGTAGGATAGTAATTGATGCAACCACCAGCACCCATAAGCTGGAAAACTATAATTTGTGGCAAGTTTGATATTCTTACGACAACATGCATTTTGTTTCAACTATTTGTGCTGAAATTATTGGTTTTTTCCCCCATTGTTTTCTCACTTTTTTTTGTTGTCCCATCTATTTAGTTATAATTAGCTTATTTTGTTATTTCCTTGAATTTTTGTCGTCGTGAATATAATTTATGTTAGTTCTATATAATTACCCTTAATTATGTGGTTTTAAATAAGTGTCATTTTCCTTGCAGCTAAATAATATAATACTATTACTGTGAGATTAATTTGAGTTACTTGTAGCTTTTGAACAAACATGAATGAGAAGAAAATTGTCAAGAAAAAAATAAGAACACACGTTACGGCAAAGAATCTGAACGAGAATATGCGAATAGACGATAAATAAAATAACGACAATGCATATCGTTTTGAATTAACATTAGAACTAATAGTGCATATTCCTCCAAGAGATACCTTTTCATAAAATAAATATGTAAGTCGTGGTTTTGAGGAAACAAAAAAAAAGAAAATAAAGAATTCGTATGATCCATAGTATATGGATCTAGGTGGAAATATAAAGAGTGTACAAATTGTATTTAATTTCTTCTTGTGATTGTGACAATCCACCAATATAAGCTTTTTATTTGTACTACGAAAAACTCTAGATTTCCTAACATGAATATGGTCTAAATTAAAAAAAGTAGAGAGTCCCATTTATATTACCCGATCATCGAGTGGTGAAGGAGTAACTTATACTCGATCAATTTTGGTGACGTACTATACAAGGAAAGGAATACAAAGGCTTGCCTAAGTTGTCTCTAATGTCTATCGTTGTTATGTTGGCAACTCCAACCATTTTTCTTATACGTCTTGCGTCATCATTTTTGTTCTTTCAACGTCAGTAGTTAGGTTCAATTAGAAGGAAAAAAAAAACGAATTTTAATATGAGGACATTTGATAGACCTTATATTTTACTAGACACAAACTACAATTATTTGGGAATTATATCTTCTTTTAAATCATGTCAAACAAAGCAAGAGAATCACTTAGGTTTAAATTTGGCTCAGGAGTTTCACAACATGATGCTTGTCATCATCATCCACGCAATAAACGATGTCGTTCTCATCGCATCCTCTCTCTCTTGCCTTTCTTGACTCTTGTAAAAACTTCTCAAAGGCGTTGGTAACGTACTTAGAAGCATCGGCAACGCAAGTTTCTTTGCATAGCTTGTGGATCAGTTCTTCGTTCTTATAGTCTCCTTTTAGTCCCGCAGCCACTATTACTAGCTCTTCTTGAAAGTCACTTAGTTCTGCATCTTCTTTTGCCACCGTCTCTCTCATTTTTATCGGATTTGACAATGTTTCTATATATTTTTTTTAAAGTGATGAAGTTTTTTTATTCGAAATAATCATAAATTTTAATAGAAGTTATTAAAAGAATGATCAAAAAGTAATTTACCAGGGCAATCTTGTCTTGGTGAATCTCTAGTAATAACATATTCAAAAGTGCCAGCCCATGAATCTCTCTTTGTCAAGAAATCTTTGAGTTTAAAAATCTGCTTAACCGTTGCGGGAATTGATGAATGCTCATATTGTGACTTTGGGTACGGCCCCTTTGGTTCATGAATAACTACACATTGTACATTACCAAACTAGGATCTTGATTAATATATTTGTATATATAAAAAGACTACTAAATTACTTAAAGTCTATGACTAATATAATTATATACCTGTCCCAGGCTCAATCCAAGGAGATATGAAGAAAGTCGGAACCCTAACTCCGAGCCGGTTAAACTCAAAGTGATACGGTGGAGGTCCCAAGATACCATCCGGGTTAGGAACTCCTTCGACCGGAGTAGGGACATGGTCGTAAAACCCACCGTGTTCGTCATATGTTATAATGAATAAAATCTCGTTCCATTGAGGACTTGATCTCAAGGCCTCGTAAACCTCCTTCACGAGCTTTTGTCCCTGAGAGACGTCATGTGATGGATGGTCGTCGTTAGCCGGATTCAAGAATAGATCATACCAGCGTTGTTCAACCACAACGTAGTTTGGTAGCTTCCCTTCTTTACAATCTTTCTTGAATTGTAGTCCGTACTCGTGGAAATGTGTCAAATACTTGAGTTTTCTCAAATTCCTGAAAAAAGTACACAAACACACAAAAAATACGTATAAAGAAGTAAAAGATAGATAGCAAAAGCAAATTGAACGTAAAGAGAATTACTAAAATATTTGGTTACGTATATAAAAAACATACCTGTAAACGAGAGTAGTAGGAAAACATTGGTAATAAACGCCAAAGGTGAAACCTGCTTCATCGAGCGACTCGAATATCGTCTTTTGTGGAAAACCTTCTATTAGTAATTTCCTCTCGTTGTTTGTTGTTCCGTGTGATGTTGCCGAATGAACAAACAATCGGTTTGGCTGCGTCGCACCTGGAACCGATGCGAACCACCTACAGTATTACATCCAACACAAGACGATCATGGAATAAACCGGGATTTTGAACCGAACCGTCATACAGATCAAATACAGTCGAAAATTTTAAACCAATTAACTGTAAACCGAATTCAGACAGGTGAACCGGCTTACCTATCACATATTGCGAAATTTTGAACTAATTCCTTATAAACCGGCAAAGCGTCCGGTTTAAATCCGTTCATAACCGCGGAGGACATCCCTTTCATCTTTCGCTCGGCGTTTTGGGCAAATCCGGACATTGTAGCTGGACCCGGGTTTGGATCTGGGTGAACCGAATCCCATGGCTTACCGAACACTTGTTCGTAGATTTCACGAATGGAGTGACCTGGATTCGGGTCAACGTACTGAGACTGGTCGTTGAAGGGGACAATGTGAGAGGAGTTTATGTCTGAGGACAAAACCGGGTTAAATTTCTGGTCTGATTTGATGACTCCATCGATTTCCCGGTTTAGCTCTTTGAACCAGCCGAGTGTGTGGTCGAAAGAACGATTCTCTTGGACCAATACGACGATGGTTTTGATAGGATACGACGATCTTGCGCCTTCTTTCGTCTCGGCCATGATCTGTTTCTGTTCTATTGATGAAGGTTTGAGAAGATCATTCGTGCGTTTATGAATACAAACACACGAAATATGATAATTATGTTTATAGTGCTTCTAAACTTAAGAAATAGAGTTTTACAAGTAAACATCAAATCAGAAAATACGCATCGTGCATGCTTATTGTCCTTTGTATTGGTATCACGTCAAGTAACTAATAAGTGGAGCACACCCGAATAAAGTTGCAAGTAATTCAAAATACGCATTGAGTATGCAAATTTGGATATCGTGAATAGTTTTGGAGAACATCTCAAAGTCAAACAAATCTCTAAATAAAATAGCATGCGCTTCATAGGATGAAATGAGACTAATTAAACGAGCGTCTTTTATTGATATTAATAAACATCTCGAAGCATTATTACATCACTGACATGATTGATCACATCTTATTCTCTAACAATATATAGTTACCTACTATTTAGTACTTATTATCCGTAAGATCTTTATTCAGTTCACTAAAAAGACATGCTAGTTTGATCGTGATACGTAGGTAGAGTTTACCGGGGCACAAAGCAGGCCAGCAATTATCAGAGAGACCATTAAGCGTTTTGCAACAAGAATGCCTTATCTCATGAAAATCACGAAAACTCCCTCTGAACAACGCACCAATGGTTTCGAAGCAACCTTCCACACTCTTGACCGCATCGATACATTCTTTCGGATGAAACCCTTGTGGATCCACTTCTTTTGTTACCATCGCCTTGTCTTCTTTGTTGTTTGAAGAAGGTGATATATGATTAGCCGATGAAGACATGGTTACCAAGGCAAAGTAGATGATAGCTACAAGAACTGAGTATTTCTGAGCCATTGCGGAGAAAAACAAAATGAAAGTTTTTTGAGACTGTTTAATATGATTTTTAACTAGTGAACTTGTGTTTACAATGATCTCAAAGAGAGTTAATTTATAGTAGTAGAGTGATGTATAAACGAAGCCTTGATTTCAGTAGTATTAATGACTTGGAAAATTACATATTTTTGAACTTTTTTATGTCGACATCTCATGATCTTACTCATTTTAGGCATAGATCAATCTATACTTTACTTATTTGATTCCCTCCCATTATGGAATTATGCAATTTAGGATCTCGTGAATAATTAGAGTGCATCTAAATTCTAATAATGGTCATTAAATCCCTTGTAGCAAAATCGTATATCGGTATATGCATCATAATTTAAGCTTAACAGTAATAATTAGGGGTACACAGAAATTAAGTATGTCGTAAAGTGCATGTCATTGTGTTGGTGGTATAGCTTAACTTACCAAACTGGTATTTTCAAGGCTCGTTGCGGTAAATTCACGACTCTTTTGTTTTACACATTATGAAAAAAGAGAGATTTTAAATTAATTAAGAATATATATGGGCGGTAAATTCAAAACTCTTTTGATTACACAATACGAAAAAAATAAAAAAGAGAGACTCAAATTCCCTAATATATATATATTTTTTTTAACTTTAATTTGGTAAACGGTAATTTTTGGCTCTATCGAAACTGGTGGAGAGAACAAATTTGCCGGATCTCTTCATCGCCGCCATTGAACTCCGCACCAGAAAATTCGAAATCCCGTTTGTTTGATTCGCCACCGATCCAGACGGAGGAGGCGTCTTCTCTCCTTCCCCTTCTTCCATCCGCCGAGAGGTTCCTACACCCGCTGATTCTTCCTCGTCTTCAATCTCCCGCAATATGTCAGCGATCGATACAACGGCGGTGCCTGAGTTTGATCTCCGATTCACCTGCTCTTCTCCGTCTCTTGACTCGTGCATATCCGGCGGTTTCGGCGTCGATCCGCCGTTACTAACAGTCTCATTCCGAGATCTGGAGGAATTTTCCAGATCTAAGTTAACAACAACGACGGAATCTTCATCCGTCGAAACCGAGTTGTTCTCTGTATCGATCGGTTGATCGGTTAAAGCGACGATCTCAACGGCGGGGGTGACGTTAAATCCGGCGATGAAAGTGCGGCAGAGAGGACAGTTAGAGTGAGATTTCAACCAAGTATCAATACAAGGAACGTGGAAGGCGTGGTTGCATTTAGGCAACAGTCTCAAGCTCTCATTCTCTTGGAACTCGCTCAAACAAACAGAGCAATCTGAAGATTCGACGAACCCATCCGTCTTCCTGTATTTGTAAACCGTTATCGATTTAATCAGAGACTCATCGAGTCCATCACCACCACCAGCCGCTTGATTCGGATTCGTAGCCCCTTGCCAGGAGGTGTAATCGGATGAGATTCCGTGGTCGTCTCGGTTAAGAGCTGCGGCGGAGGAGGAGGAGGAGGAGTTTTCGCGGCGGCGGCGGCAGTATTTGGAGATGAGAGTGTAGTAGCTGACGAGGATGAAGGCGCTAGCGAGGATACCGATAAGAGCGATGAGAAGAGGTGAGAAATCAGAGGAAGAGGAGTCGTCTTCGTCGTCGAGGTAGAAAGAAGGAGGAGGAGGGAAGATGACGTAACACCATTGAGGGCAGTAGACACTGCATACTCCTTGGGAACAGTCTCTGTATGAATCGTATGTACCCCATGGGTTAGGGTTTCCTGTTGAACCCATTAATGAGATATGTTGCTGTCCAGGAGAAATAGAGAGAGAGAGAGAGAGGAGGAGGAAGAAGAAGAAGATGGAGGTGAAGTCTACTGTGTACCAATCTCTTCTCTTTCTTTGGGGTCTGCTTTGTCTGGTAAGTGTCTCTTTTTTTTTTCTTTTTTGTTTAGAGTTAATTAGAGTAATTATTAAGGAGATGAATTTAATAAACTTGTGATGGTTATAAAAGTACTAATTAAGTGATGTATTCTTCTTTATCAAATCTCTTTTAGTAGTATAACTAAAGTTGTAGAATTTGCTTTATTCTATTTTTCTTTTAAATTATTCGTTGGCTTTCTCTTTATGCTTCCGTTTTCTTTTTCTTTCTGAGATAATTAGTATTTGTGAATAATGGTTGAAAGTAAATAAGTGTGTTGACAAAATAAAAAAGAGAGAAGGGGTTAAGTCTATTGCAAGGCATTAAAAAAAAGAAGGGTTGGTGAAGTGTTGACGAAGGTGGGAATACTATAACATGGGCCACGTGGATGACAAAATTATTCACGTATCTACTATCTCTATCAAAAAAAAAAAAAAAAAAAAAAAATTCGTGGTCAGGAATACTACAAACTTACATGTGTGACTTCGTATGTACACATATCTATCAAGTATCAACATAGTAGTAACAAATATATAACTTCATTTCGTTTCAACATGAACATTCGTTACACGATTTCTTTATCTTTGGTCCTATGATTTATATATATTATTTTACAACTTAATACCAAAACTCTAATATTTGTTTTTTTTTTCATCATGAAATGATATTTTTATATAGAAACTCTTCAACCATATTCATTACATATATAGTACGGATAGATAATTGATAAAAGAGTTCATAGAACATAATTATTAATATATGAAACAATTATATATACAAATATGCCAATAGAGCAGGAAATCATATTGTAACTGTAAAGAAGTCATCCTGTCAGGCTGTCACTCTGTGAATTACTACTAGTACTAATTATCAAAATCATAGTATTAAAGTTGATTAGAATGATGATACATGATCATCTATCTCTTAGGGATTCTGTAAAACCCAATTAGTATATTTGATATATATGATTGATTACACATCTACTTGCACATGGCTAAAGTTGTTCCCTTTTTTTTTTTGATATGTCATTGCCAACTAGCTAAAGTTTGGTTTATTACTGTAAATCTCGTGTTTTGGAACTAACTCTCGTTATTTTCGTGATCCAGCGAATTACTAAAATACATTTTCTTAATATTCGTTGTGATCTCTCGTAGTATAAAAACTCCGAACCGAATTAAAAAAAAAAGACCGCATCATAGAAGAAAATTAAAGAGCAAAGAATATTAATTGGAATTCAAAAACACAGAAGATTCCGACGGCTTGTAGCTTCAGTACAAAGTGTGAATGTTTTACAATAAGATTTTTTTTCCCCTTTTCCCGTGTTGAGAAAAAACAAAGACCTAAACGACAAAAAAATATATATATATATAATAATACAAAAAACTATAGCGATAACTCAATCATACTTACTCAATTATAAAAACATATAAAATCGCAGACCCATTTTATTAAAACTTTGATTGAAAGACGCGAGGATGGATCTCTCTGTTCTCTACTCACACCACTAACTTTTTTATTAAACTCGTCCTTTTCTGCGATCGTCCAGTGCCTGCCTCATGTAGTACAATAAGATTTGTGTTATTAGACTATAACACAAGCAGTTACTAGTGTTATTTTTATATTCAATAACGTCAAAAAAACTAATAGGTTTAGTTTCAGTAATTCTGAAAGCATACCTTGCTTTGAAGCATCCTCATCGTCAAGACTAGAGTGTCACGCATACTGGTATAAAACGCAAAAGTTCATTTATCTTAGGTGTGAGTCAAATCGAAATAAAATTACTGTATATTTTGCAGATGGATGTATGTACCGGATATTGAGTGTGCTTATAGGATGTGAAGATCCATCATAACTTATCAGAACAAACTGTGTTGAGTCTCCACACGGTACTTTTATCTGCAATCCTTGTGTTAGATTTTATGAACAAGACATTGAGCCAAGCTTATAAATTCAGTGTTACCATCTCTTTTACCTGGAGTTCCTTTGAGTATTTCTCTGAGATCACTAGAGCTTCTACGTTGTTCGTTTTTATCTGGTAACTAGTTCTCTTCAATATAACCGTTGCAGGTTCCCAACTCTCTGATGAATCCATCTTTCAAAATAAATAGCCAAATAAATAAAAACGCTTCTTAAATCCAAAATTCAATTAAACCTAAGACAGTGGATTCAAGCTCTGAGCTTCAAAGTTCAAACTTACCAGAAGCTGCACATTAAAGCTTGCTTGACCTCGGGATATGTACGTGTCGATTTCTGTTTGCATCTCTGTATCTGTATAAGCAAAAAACATTTTCAGCAAAGAAGAGACTGTAAAAGACCTCTTCGCTATCTACAAAAGACAGGTTATACTCAGTTGAATACATTACCACAACTAATCTTGTTTTGATCATTAGCAAATAATCTCACTAATTCTCCCTGCATTAAACAAACACACTTTTTTTTTTCAAGACAACATGAGTCATTAACGCTATAGATGCCGAAGAAATCCCAGAATTTTACCTGACGACCTTGATCATCCATCGGAATACATTCAACAGCAATCAGTTTATCTACATCATCCGCAGTTACAACATACTCTGGATGGGTGGCTCCTACATATGTTTGACCCATAGTCCAGTTTTTAATTATGCTGTAAAAAGTCAGTAAGACAAATAAATCAAATCTTACCCTCAATGTATTGTCTGGTGCCATCTTCAAGATGCCGAACCCACTTTTCAAGAAGAAACAAACAAATAGAGACGTATATTATTTTTTCACTGTTAAATCGGTCTCAAGGTTTTCTTAAAAGATACTTATTACCAAAACATTTTCAAAAAATCTACCTGAAACATACAGAGAGTGGTTCCACGCACTGGAAACCCACAACCAAGAACTTTCTCTCCAGGTATTGCATCTCCAATAATTTGAAATCCATCGATTCCTGGTCCCTCTGTTTCCAAAGAAAGGTCAGATTAAGATTTCTAATGTACAGCCACTAGGCTCTAAGAAAACGAAGCAATATTTTTCAACCTTCATAAACATGAGAAGCAAACTCTTCATTCCCATTGTAAGCATCAAACATGGAAGAATTCTCAGCTTTTTCTTCTCTTTCTCGAATCATTTCCTTCCCCGCCACACTACTTAGAGGATATCCAAAATTTTCCCTACAAGTGAGCATAATGAAGCAGGCATTTTCGTCACTGTGAAAGAACTTCATTGGTTAAAATAGAATGCAATGAAGTTTTTAGAAGATTGAGATATGATACCGTACCTTTTCGGCTGCTGGAAAATTCCTTGAGATCCACCGCCAATCTGATTATTAAATCTCAGACCTTCAGTGTCTTGCATAACGTTATGATACGGGTTTCTCATAACATTTTCCATTGGTGGCAAAAGTTGTTCATTGGTCCGGTAATCATTACCACGATCCTGCATCAAGGGTAGTATATGAACACACAAAGTAAGATTTTCTTTTGAAAAGATGTCACAAATTTTATAAAAGGTCTTTAAGAGTAAATGATAATTAATTTAGCAAATTACTTGCTGAGACTACCGTGGATCCATAAGAAGCTTGACTTTTCGAATTTCTGGGATCATGGTTGTCTTTATTAATAAACTCTGTTCCAGGTTGATTTTCCACAATAGATGATAATTCTCTAATCCTATCCTGTGATTTTACATTTCGTCACAGCATGTTCGAGAGGACAACATGAAGAGTATTCACATTCTTGCAGAGGTCTAATTAGGCTAAAGGACATATGTAGACAACAACATACTAAGGAAATGTGTGTAATACACTGAAATTGAGAAACTTCATCGGTTTTTGATAAAAAAAACTACAGGATAGAGAGCTTACAGTGCACGCTTTAGTCTTCCATTGCAACTGATCATGCAAGTGCTGCATACGAAAAATATGATATATATGTTAAGATTGTTTAATATATAAATCTGAAGAAAGATGTAGGGAAAGCAAATACCTTAATGCCGCTGGATATAGCGGTAGCATTTGCAACACGAGGCCAAACACCATACTCAGCTAGTAAACCAAGTAAGGACGTCATGAATATATACCTCTCATCTTCTGTAACCTAAAGATAGGAAGTGATAGACGTAAAGACGGAAGGGTAAAAGACAATGAACTTCAAAGATATGAGGCTACTGCTTAATTTTAGTCAAAGCCAATTACCTTTAAATCATGTGCCAACTTCAAATTTTCTTCAAGATCACCTTTTCGACGAGCCAATTCATTCAAGGCTGCCGTGACTGATTCATTTTGTTTCTCATCAATCGCCTAAAGAACAAGAAACTGTTAGCCAAACCCAGAAACCACAGGTGAAATCTTTGATCAATCTTGATAGATTAGCATAAAGCAAAAGCACAAACCACTCGAAGATCAGCACATTTTCTCTCCAACCCACACTTCTCATTGAGCAGCTGCATATCCTGTAATCAAAAGATGCAATTTCACTTTCTTCATTCAAGTTCACTTGAAAGATTCATGTGAGCATCATGTTATTCTATACACACCTTCAAACAAGCAGCAGCAATTTGTTCCTGAAGACTATGAATCTCCTCTTCTTGTGATCTCACTTTTGCATAGAGTGCCTGAATTTTCCAAGCTTAATCTCAGTATATTTAAGTGTTTTTGATTCAAGAACTAGAATTATAAGATTCTAGTATCAGGTACCATTTCCTCAGGATCTTGAACTAACTTGGCATTACTATCTTCTAGCTTCCTCGAAGCAGTAGGATCTTTCTCAATCTCATCATGCCTATTATAGAGAAACAGATCGAGAACAAAACAACTAAATATATAAACAAACACTGCTTCAAAAATCAAACGCTTGGGACTTAAAGGCAAAGCAGTAAATACCTTTTGAGAGATTCAGAGCTTCGATTGTCATCCATGGTGCTTAAGCTCTAGAACGAAGCTCGAATTCAAGGTCATCGGATTTTGTTTGTTTTTTCTATTTGATTCTTCTTTTGAGAAAACTCTACCAACAGTCAATTTCAATCTCCACGAAAACAAAGGGAATATTTCTAAAAGGCCCCTCAACTAATTATATTTTTCAGGATAGCCCGTGAACTACAACATTTACAAAATAGTCTGTCAAATTAAGTCAAAAGGTATCATAAATTGCACCCAAACGACTCACTTCGGAGTTCGGATGATTTAAAACCAAAAAAAAAAAAAAACAAAATCGATTACACAATTTCGCTGGTAAACCGTTCGGTACAAGATTTTAGTCAGCCAAAAAGTCGAATTCGTCGATCTAGACGACGACGACGACGACGACCAAACACTCCGCCGATCAACGGTCCTCTAGTCTCAACGAAGAGTGAGTGGCTTCGTCGTGACCTCAGAAATGTCGCAGCAAATCAGCGGTAATAATATCCCGCTGAGCGAAGTTTACTGGTCTCTCGTTAACAAAGCTGATAAGAAATTCTCCAAGATCAGAGACTTGCCCTTCTATGAACGCAGCAGGTACTCTTCCTCTCTTCCGATTCCGTTGAGAAGACCGGTGAAATTGAGAATTTCGATTTTTGTTTAGGTTGAATAGAATATGTACATTAGAACAGTGGATTTTGAGAGTTGCTAGATATCGATAATGGTAGGAAACAAAGTTGTGATGAAGAATGAGAATGAATCAAGTGCATAGAATTATCGATACGTTGTTTCTGATATCTGATTGTTGTTCCTTCTGTTTATAGGTATGAGAACTATTTCTTCAAGGTGTTTAAGGTATACACACAGTTATGGAAGTTTCAACAAGAAAATAGGCAGAAGCTCGTTGAAGCTGGGCTTAAGAGATGGGAGATTGGAGAGATAGCATCTCGCATTGCTCAGCTTTACTATGGGCATTATATGCGGACAAGTGATGCGGGTTACTTGTCTGAGTCCTATGTGTTCTACGAAGCAATACTCACTAGGGAGTACTTCAAAGAGGGATTGTTTCAGGATCTTAATATTGCAAACAAGCAGCTACGGTTTCTTGCAAGGTTCCTAATGGTCTGTTTGGTCCTGGGCCGCAGAGAGATGGTTCATCAGCTTGTTGATCAGTTTAAACGGTTGATAGATGATTGCAAGAGGACCTTCCAGGTTTATTTCTGAAAATTTATTCTCTCCATCTTGACTACTTTCTTGCCCCGAGCCTTAGACTGTTTTTAGGTGTAATTGTTTAAGTAATTAGGTCGCCTTACAAGAGATTGTTTGAATAATTAGGTTGCCTTACAAGAGATCATGTCTTTATCTATTTTTCCCCCGTTAAATCTAACATGACTGTTTTCCATTGTCTATTACGTTGACAACTTTCCATGTTGTCAGGAAACCGATTTTAAAGAATGGAAGGTGGTGGCACAGGAAATAGTTAGATTTCTGAAATCTGACACTGCATTTATGAACATCAGACCTCTAAGATATAGTCCTGTGCTGGATCCTAATTTGGATGCTGGTACACCACGTGCAAGTAGGTATTTAAGGTTGACGGATGCAATTTTAAGCAGTTACTACTATAACGAGGTAGTGCTTTACTTGTTCATGTTTAGTTTGAACGCCTAATGCCATTTTAATATTCTTACCCTCTAAAATTTGCAATCTTGCTGTATGATTTTCACCAGGTCAAGTACTCAGAGCTCACACTCGATTCTTTTAGAATGCTCCAATGCTTAGAGTGGGAACCGAGTGGTTCACTATATCAGTCAACTGGTGCTAAAATGGGTCAGAATGCTCCCATTGGAGTTGGTCGTATTAACTCCCAGAGTATGAATGATCCTACGTTGCCACCTAACCCTCGAAAAGCTGTCCTTTATCGTCCATCCATAACACATTTCTTGGCTGTAAGTGGAATTCAGTTTTTTTGCTGGCCAATCTAAAAGTCTGAGACATTGTTTCTCTGGACCCTCATCCTCTGAACTCTGTTTTATCTTGGTAGGTTTTGGCCACCATTTGTGAGGAGCTTCCTTCTCATGGCATTCTTTTATTATATTTGTCTGCTTCTGGTAATGTGTTGTTTAAGCATTGTATTATGCTTCTTCTCTTTGGAATATTGAGTTCCTTAGCTTTGAACATGTAAATTTTTACTCAGGCAAGAATGGGCAGATTTCATCATCTCCTTTGAGTGGTAGAAATGCAACTAGTGTTGAGGAGAATATCTTGAGAGACTTTGATTCTCACATAATCAAACAAGAGAGAGACCCATCACTTCAAATTACGCCATCTGGTCAGTCTTTGAGGCAAAATAGTGAGGACGCAGTCAGTACCCCATGTGGTTTGTCTTTTGGCAGTCATGGGCTCACAGGTATCCATTCCAGAATTTATGAGACTTTCATGTAAACATTCATCAAATTCTATTAGATTAGGCGATATGCATGTAGGAGGTTTATTTAATTAAGTACTGTCTATAAACAGAGAGAGGATACAAAGTAATAATTAGTCATGTATAGCTTCTAGAAGGCAGAAGGGCAAAACACTGAAATTTCCAGACATTCATAAAAATTAAAATCTTTTTTCAGGAACCAAGGCCAACATATAATTATTTTTTTATTTAGAATTTGCTATTTTTCGAAGTCTGATGATTGAACTGTCTTTCCCCCAGGATCAAGCTATATCTATCCCTCTGATTTAGTTCCATTCACAAGGAAACCTCTTTTCATAATCATTGACAGCGATAACAGCATAGTTTTTAAGGTGAGATACACATGTCTCTTACGATAACATTCATTTTTGATACTTATATTTGTAAATCGAGGAGATGTGAATGTTTTTTCCTTACAATGTGAAGAATATTTGTGGAGCGGAGAAAGGAGAACCAGCAGCATTGCTTCTGTCTCCATCACATGCTCCTCCGCTAATCTCTGCTGATTTCTCTCGTCAACCTAGTGGTAGCCTTTTCACCATTTTTCTCACTGCACCAGTCCAAGCTTTTTGCTTGTTAAGTGGGATTTCCGGCTCTGATATGGAAACGGTAGGTAGAAATAAAGCTTCATCCCTTGTTTCATACTTCTTTTTCTTAACTTCTTTTGTTTGCATGCTGACTACTGTCACATGTCAGGATATTTTTATTAAGGCAGAGAAGCTTATGTCCTCGTCTATGAATGAATGGGCTTCAACATTGGCAACATCAGATACCCTGCACCCTGTTTGGTCCCAGATACTAAAAGATCCCTTCTTGAGACGACTGCTCCTTAGGTAAATGTTTCTCTTCCAAGTTCTAAGAAACCTTCAAGAGCTCCTAAAATTCCAGTATCAATGAAAAAGCAAACTTGATCTAATGGAATATTACAAAATTGGAGGTTCATTTTTGGATATAGATTGTGTAGGAAATGTTCATTTTGTATATTGAAGACTCTCAAACTCTATGAATCTTCAAATCTTCTTATTTATCCATCTGTGGTTTCGGATTTTGTCCCTTTAACTGCAGATTCATTTTCTGCCGGGCTGTCTTGGCACTGTACACTCCAGTCCTCAATAACCAACAAAATCAGCCAGAGTGCTTTCCGTCTCTCCCGGATTCGCTAGCACCAACCTCTCCTGCGGTTCAAACTGCTGTGCTTCAGATGGCTAATGTATTTGGGGCCACAAGTAAGTTTACTTTACCCCAAGATATCACAATGCTCGAAAGCCTCTAAGCTACCTCTGCGACTAGAAGAGCTTCGGTCTGAAATATTCTTGTGCAAATCGGGAATCTCGATTTGGTCAATGCTTCTTCAGTGTCATTGGAGGTTTATAACCAAACCTCTTTTGAGATTTATGGTTGAAGAACATATTGGTGTGCGAAATTAACAAAGTGTTTGATGCAGAACATGTGATTGGCTCTGATGTTTGGTTTTTTGTTTTTGTATATTGATTCAACTTTTACAGTCTAATGGAAATTCACCATCTTCTTTTATTTGATCAAGAGATATAAGAGGTTCTCCAGCTGAATATGTCGATTTCATTGGTCAAGTCTAGTAAGACAATATAAATTGCGTAGATTTTTCACGACACAGTTTAATGAAACCGCAAAATATGATTTTCGATTATAAGAAATCACTTTTTAATTCTCGTATGATTTTCCGCAAGTCCTTGCTCTGAATTACATAAAAGAAACTATTCACCACCGATCTTTGCAGCTACAAGTTCCGTTTTTGAAGAGATGGAACCGATTAGCATCCCGCACTAATATCTCACGCCCCACGATCTTCGATATCAACTTTGTGACTTCATGACAATCACCACAGACACGAAGGTTCTTCATCACTTGCAACGGTGTCCCTGGTTCTGTATTCAGCAGCCCAAACCCAATTGCTAACCTCTCACTGTGCCCACAGATCAAATGTCTCTTCTCTTCTTCCTGTAGATTCTGCGGCACTTCCTTTGAATTGGGTATGTACCCTTCTTTAGCCATGAGACTGTAAAGTATCTCTAGCGACTTATGGATGGCTTCCGACTGAGGTGCTGAAATATCTCCTGCACGGAACACGTGAACTATTTTACCAATTTCTATCCAGCTATATCCCGGATTCTTCCTGATGAGTTTATCATTCAAGGATTTGCGGATTAGGCTCACTTTGTCCCATTTTCTCAATGCGGCATACGCATTTGATGCTAGAATCGAGTAACCTGGATCATCCGGATTCAGTTCAATGATCTTCCTAGACACTCTTTCTGCGGTTTCCATGTCCCTACTTGTTCGACAAGCTCTTAGCACAGATGCCCATATGCTCGCATCAGGTTTTATCGGCATTGTTTGGATAAATTCTTCGGCTTTCGAAATCTTCTGAGACCTGGACAGCAAATCAACTACACACGCGTAGTGTTCTATCATCGGGTCAATTTTGTAGTGAGTTTTCATCTTCTCAAAGCAAGCCAAGCCTTCTTCTACCAAACCAGAGTGGCTGCAAGCATAGATGATGGCAATGAAGACAACATTATCGGGAACAATACCGGATTTTTCCATATCAGCAAAAGTTTTAAGAGCTTTCTCACCTTCGCCATACATTCCATATGCATAGATCATCCCTGTCCATGTTACAATATCTCTTCTACTCATATGTGCAAAGACTCTAAAGGAACTCTCCAAACAACCACATTTTGAGTACATTTCAATTAGTGCATTACCTACTTGCAACTCAGATTCATATCCAAACCTTAACAGACAACAATGGATCTCCTTGCCTAGTCGTTTTGCAGCAAGTGAAGCACACATAGGCAATGTAACTAAGAAAGTAGCCATATCAGGCACCACTTCGCTCTTCCTCATTTGAGTAGTTACTTGCAAACCGGTTGCAAAATCCCCAGAACTAACACAGGCTGAAATAACCGTGTTCCATGTCACTGTATCCCGAGTTTCCATACTATTGAATATCTTCAGTGAATCTCCTACTTCCCCGCACTTTGCATACATATCAATCAATGAATTACCAACAGAAAGATCGAAATTAATTCCTGATTTCATCACGTTCGAGTGTAGCCCTCTCCCAAATTTCAAGTCTGCAAGACGCGTGGAGACAGATATAAGCATCAAATAAGTGATGTGATCCGCTTGCTCTTCCATGATGATCATCATCAACCTAAAGAGTTTCATGGCTTCTGAAAGATCTCCGTTTTGTATATATCCACTGATTATCGAGTTCCACGAAACAGTATCCTTGCATTCCATGCTCTTGAAAACATCTCTTGCTGTGACCATGTCAGCACACTTTGCATACACATCAATTAGAATGTTTTTAACAGTAGTGTCAAGCTTAAAGCCAGCTCTCAACACATAGTCATGAACGTACTTTGCTAAGCCCAAGTCCCGTAAGTGTCCACAGGCACGGAGAATAGAACTAGCTGTTAAGATATCTGGCTTGAACTGATCCAAATTTTCCAAGAATATCCTCACAGATGCTTCATGCATCTCTAAGTTGAGATATCCGCAGATTATAGTATTGTAACTAATGGAATCCCGAACAGCCATCTCATCAAAAACTCGTCTTGCATCTGTTGGTCTGCTAAATTTCAAGTACATTGCAAGTAGTCCATTGTCAACCACCACAACGGAACTAACACCTGACTTGAGAACAAAACCATGAAGTCCCTGTCCTTGTTTAACAACCAGCAAATTCGCAAAGGCGGGCAAAACACTTGAAACCGTGAAGGAATCTGGCACAATCCAATATTTTTTCAGTTCATTATAAATCTCCAGGGCTTCTTCATAGTAACCATGAGAACTATAGCCAGAAATTAAACTGTTCCAGGACACAAGATCTCTCACGGGCATAGCATCGAACACTTGTCGTGCTCTACCCAACAATCCCATTCTCGAATACATATCCACAAGTGCATTGCCTACATATAAATCCGATTCGAAACCCATCTCCAATATCTGTTCATAAACCAAATCTCCCGTCTCCGCATCGAACAATCCTGCGCAGGCTTTGACAACCGAAGGAAACGTGTACTTATCAGGCGAAACCTTGGAGTCCCGGAGTTTTCCGTAAAATTCGAGGGCTTTAGGGTATAAACCATTATTACAGAAAGCTCTGATGATAGAATTCCAGAGGTAAACATTTTTGGCCGGAGAAACTCGCCGGAAAACAGAGAGGGAAGAGGCAGGTTCACGAAAATGAGAGTACTTGTGGATAAGCTTGCCGGAGAAGAAGTCGGAGCCGTCAAGACCGAGAGAGATCACAAGGGCGTGGACTCGACGAAGCTCATTGAGGTTAGATGACGATGAAAGAGCTTTAGAGATGAAAGACGATGATGACACTCCTGTAGTCTGCATTACGCCATTGCAGAGTTTTTACCTCTACATTATCTTTTGGGAATTTTGTTTAAAATGCCACTTTCAAAACTCAATTTTTCTGTTTCTGCCATCTATTATAACATTTTTGATTCTCCCATCTATTATAACATTTTTGAAGTATAATTTTTTTGGTCACTTTTGTTTAAATTTTTATCCCACCAAATACCCTCAACATTTTGTTAATCAAAGTTATCTCATTAAGGTTAATTGTGTCATTAGTGAAGTCGGGTCGGTTTGTTTTAACAATTTACTACCCGATTGCAAAAATCGGATCCTATATTGATGCTACAATTTATTGCAAAAATCGGATCCTATATTGGTCCTATATTAATGCTACAATTTATTACAAACGGAACATTAATTGTGTCATTAGTGTTAGTGTTATTATTATTTTTTGGTTGTCTCAAATTGTTTTTTTTTCTGGACAAAAGGTCGTTCCATATCCATATTGTTAAAACCAGGAAAAAGGAAAATTACAAAAGTAAACAACATATACACTACGATGAAATGCATAAGAGTTTTTTTTTTTTTTTTTTCAACCAAAAAACAAAATGCATAAAAGTACTATAAACAAAATCCATCACAAGTAATCCGGCCAGGGCTATATTCACATCAAGTGTTAGTCCTCCTGGATTTGCTGTTGTAGGACTAGGATAATAAGATTACATCATTGTATCTATACATGATTTCAGTTATGTCTTAACTGATAGTTAGCATCAAGACCTAGGTGTCTGTAAGTTTAGGATACTAGTTATAATGGGTTTCATCATCACTTTTTTTTTTTTTTTTTTTTTTTTGGCTCAATCAATGTGTTTAGCATGAGATGTCTAAATGACTAAATCTGATGGTGTATGCTTGTGTCTCTTGTTTCCAACTTGCTCGCATGTCTGGTTCAATATAAGTAGTAACACAAGGAACCTCTTGGCTCTAGACATATCTTTCCATTTTGGAACTGAATGGTGTGGTTGCCAAGGCTAAGTGGTCTGATGTGGACCTCTAGGAGAACAAACATGGATCATTTTTCTGGGGAGATAAAATTGCACGAGTGTGGTCTTCAAAAGTTTGTCAAGCATCACGTTAGTGTCACAGCCTATTCCGGGGAAGATGTCAAGCAAGGCCATTTTTTTACTTAAAATAATTGCTCCCTTCCTCTCCGCCAATTTCACTTGCACCGATTCAACATCATCACAGTTGTTACAAGCAAACACTAGTTAATAAACTAACATCAACTATGCGACCAGCCTGCAATATGCAATATTACAATACAATCCATTGTGATACTCTAATAAAAGATAAAGCGTGAAAAGTACAAGTGGGTTTAAGCATGACATATAAAAACGTGAATAAACGAAGCAAATAAATACAGTTAGACGACAGAAGCAATCAATCAGCAAACCCTAAATTGGAGACAGAGGAGGAAGGGTGAGAGGATAATACAATCAATCAACAATGTCGATGCTTTTGGTGAAAAAAGTAGCCGATGTGAAGCAGAAACAAGTGACGATGGCAGAGCAGAGGATCCCTGAAAGCATCTACCTTTCACACAACATCGGATCTTCTCGTGGTTGGGTGATCAGGATGAACAACGAAGATCTAACCGTACATCTCACCAACATGTTCAACCCCTCAGCTCCCAGATCCACTCACAAAGTCATTTCCCTCCCGATCCTTCTTACTCCTTACAATGCTCCTGTCCTTTCACAATCCATGGCGATTGCTCAGGTTTGTAACGTCTCTCTCTCCTCTTCCCCTGACAACCTTGACCAAGAGTGTATCGTGGCCGTCAAGTTCTGGGGACGCAGTATCTCCTTCTGTACAATCGGTGACTCCAATTGACACCACGATCAGTCTCTTTCCCGCCGATGCAGTAGCTCATTCGTTGTCTACTCCAGTAAAGACTCCACCTTTTATCTCACGCCTCCCACTGATACCTTCTTCCGCAAGGACGCTAGGAATATGCCCGAACCTAAATTCCCCTTCCTAACTTATTACCGTCAACTCAGACCCTTAAAGCATCCAAACACTTGGAGAGTATGAATTCGAGCTTCTCCGAAGGTGCACTCGGACCAAACACTTGGTGGAGTCACCCTCTGGCGATACATTCATCATTGTCAAATATCATTTGCTAACCTCTAAGGGGAAACCCGTCTTCCGTTGGGAGACGCAAGACTTTGATCCTTGGGAGGTGAAGACCGGCAAAAGTTGGCTCATGTTGTATATGCATGATCCAGCCACAAGGGAGGAGACTTATGTCCAAGACATTGGGGATCTCTGCATCTTCTTAGGACAGAACGAGCCTTTCTGTGTCCCCGTAAGCATGTATCCCGGACTTAAGCCCAACTCCATCTACTTCACTGAACGGACTCAGGTTTTTCTCTACAATATTGCCGACCAGACCTTCACAAGACTCTCTCATGACTGTCAGATTTCGAATCACTGGATTCAGCCCATCGTGCACAAGTAATTTCATATACATGAAACGAGTACTCTTGGTTAGTATTATATGCCTTTTGTGGGTTGCATCAAGTCCTGAAATCTGATGTTGTAGTACTAGGATAATTAACACGCATGATTCTAGCTATGTGTGACACAGTGTTCTATCTAGCTCCATGAGCTTAGCATTGTGCTTGTTGTTTCTTTCATCATCAAAAATTTCTCTAGTTCAGTTTGTGTTATGTGTTCTATCTAGTTCAAATGGTGTAAAGCATTTTGCCAGAACGAGCAGTTCGAGTTGAGTACAGTTAAAGGTTTCAAAAATGGCTAAGCTTATTTCACAGTTGAGGTGAAAACTAAGGGAATGAGTTTTGCTCACAAAGCAAATGCCTCTGATAAGAAAATGGCCAAGAAATTGGCTTACAAAATTCACTTACAGAGTATCTTGCCTCCAAAAAACAGTTTCTCTTGTGGACCTGAATTAGAGTAGACATGATAATTAATTCTCCCAGAGAACTTATGTATTATTCTTGACTAGAATTTGAATTTTTCTTTTTCTCCATCATGAGTTATCAATTAACCAATTTTGTATTGTACTTTGAATTTACTTTTATCAGCATGTATTAGTCAAACAAGAACATAACTGAACTAAAATCAATCTCTACAAATAATTCAAAACAATATGCAGAGACAGAAACAAAAAATTATATCAAGAATATAAAGACTTGATGTATTTGTGCCTTTATATATTTTTACTTTTAAACACATCCAAATATATTAAAATTTAATAGGCAAATTAGATAACTTCAAAATCCAATAAAGAAACTCTTGAATAACACTAAATTTTAACTGATATTTTTAAAATATTAAAGCAATAGATTTTGACAGAAAATTAGATACATGATTTAAATAACATATGATTTTCGTTAGATTTTTTTAAATAAATAAATTAAAATCTAATAATTAATAAACTTCGTTGGCCAATATATGTATTTTTTTACAAACTAGATTTGGTTTTAAAATTGAAACGATTAGATACTAATTTGATATAAAAAGTGAATATTAAATTTGAGAATCGATAAAGAGAATAAAGGGGTAATTTGGGTTTTGAGCGAAACAGAGGAGATTACTTGGCCCTGACATTATAAGGAAAAGAACAGAGAAGATATTGGCTTTTCTTCGTCTGTGTGTGATGGAAAATATCAACACCAAACATGAAGGAATGCAAAATATGATTGAGTTGCCTGACGATGTACTGGTGAAGATTTTGTCACACCTTCCGATCAAAGAGGTTGGGGCTACAAGTGTTTTGTCAAAAAAATGGCGCTATGTTTGGAAACTGACTCTGAAGCTAGAGCTCTGATTGATTTCGGTTTCAGGAGGAGATACATTGAATCATCTGATTTCAGTTTACAACAAAGATGCAAGACATATATGTAAATAGAACCCTATACTCTATCAAGATAGTTACTCTGTTCCTGTCTCTTTTATGGTTTCAAATCTTTCTTATTTCTTTACAAGATTTGGAAAATTGTAATTTTACTTCCAAGTCATGGTTATAACTTTCTGGATACACAATAAAAGCTTGTGATTTGTTTTGTTTGATTACTCTTTCTCGTTGACGCTGTTTCTTTCCAAGTTTGGAAATCTTTCGAGCCTACTAAAACTTGGCTTGATCAGGCCTATGCGTATCAAGATTTAAGCCTTCACGCACAAACACTAAAGAGTTAAGAAGCTTATGCCAAAGCAGTTCTTCACAAGTCAACCATTAGTCAAACAAATGTTTAGGAACATGAACGAAAAGAGTTGAACGATATTGACAACATTAACAACACGGCTTACTAAAAACCAAATCAGTAGGTAATAATCTAAGCAGTCTTCACAAAGTGCGGGGACAAGAGTTTTGAAACCTCCAGAAACCCAACTTTGTCTTTCCCTTCAAAGATTAGCTTCAGTGTCTCATCGCAGAAAATCTCCCTCTTGTCAGCTGGGTTCTGCAACCAAAAGAAGCAACACATTTTGCACCAATGTTAAGATAGAATATACTAGTATTCCCTAACTAGATACTATAACTGTCTCAATCCAATGGCACATTATCCTCATAGAGATTGGTATTTCTGGTTGCTTTCTAGGTTCTTAAAGCCAAAAGAGAACGTTGTGTTGGAGACCTGTAACCATATCATCTCACAAACAGGGTAAAAACATAGGAGCTGTAGCAAAGACAGGGGAAAGCAGAGACTAAAATAAAGAGGGCACATGAGGGGAAAATTGTATAGAATGTGAAGACTCTAAGAAAAGCAACTTCTACGGCATTAGTAAATCATAGGCTCCAGAACTAAACTACATTAACCACAACAACAAGTTGCGTTCAGAGATAAAAGCATAAACCTTTTGGATTAGACAATTGAAGGAGATGAGAAAGATCACAAAATCGAAAATCTGAAAGCAAAAAGTGTATCTTTTGGGTTGTCACCACATCAAGCTTCTCAACTAAGTTCATCAAGTAGTTTATATGACTCAAGAGACCAGGGAAATATAAGCAACGTACCACAGAGAAAATCTCGTCTACATGCAAGACCTATATCATAAAGTGGTGGAGAATCTAGCTACCTTTCGCAGATTATGATGCCTATACTCAAACGTTACAACAAAAGCAAAGATAGGGAGAAAAGAAGAGGAACCTGAAGATCGTGGGACTTGATGTAGGTCCAAATCTCTTTGATGGCGTCAGTACGCGTAGTTTCACCGGTACCAAGGAACTGGGCGAGAACTGGAGACACAGGGGTCACCTTAAAAATTCCGGTAGACCTTGGTGTCTTCTTCGCCAGTGAATCTGATTTCGCCTTAGGCTTAGGCTTAGCCTTGGTCTTCGTTTTCGCCGCGGGTTTCTTGGTAGATCCAGCTGTGACAGCATTGCTTACACCTCTCGAGGAATAAAGCACAGAAGAGGTAGCTTTGGACGCAGGAGCTAGAAGCGATCTGCATCCCCTGAAAACCATTGCTGCAACGGAAGTCATCATCTCGCCGTCAATTTTAGTTCTGTTCTCCTTCCTAGTAGTAAACAAGAGAGTGTGCGATTTTTGGAGAATTTAGGAAAGTTTTTGAGCCAGAAAAAAAAAAAAAAAAAAAAAAAAGTTTGACCTTTGACTTTGCCACGCGGCGACGTTTGAGATAATCTTTCATTGACACCAAAAAGTTTTGAACTTTCAACTTTCTAAAGATTTTAAGATCAAAGCAGAGGATCTTGAGTTTTCTCGTCCACAGTCATAAAAACTTCTTCTTCTCTATCAGCTCTCTGGGAAATTCACGTTTTCGTGCGTTTAAGAGTTCTTAAGAACAGTTTTGGGAGTTGTTGCAAAGACGGGAAAAATCAGAGAGTAAAATAGACTAAACATTGACAGATGGACTGATGGAGAAACAAATTAGATATAATGTGAAGACTCCAAGGAAAGCAACTTCTATGATAAAATGTGAAGAAGACTCTATGCAAAGCAACTTCTACGACATTTAGTAACAAGGGAACTCCATCCATAAGTAAAACTATTTTAACAAGACCAACAAGGCACAACCAGAGATAAAGATTACATCATTAGACAATTGAAGGAGATCAAAAATATCACAAATCTGAATTCTAAAAAAAGCAAAAGTGAAAATCTTTTAGGGGATCACCACATTCAAAAAATTTCAACTATGTTTATCATGCAAGCTGGTATGACTCAAGCGACCAAATATAGCAAAGTCCCATATCATCAGAAAGTGGAGAGAATCTACATACCATTTCGTTGATTTTGATGTTATACTCAAAATTCAGAACCAATGCAGAGAGAGAGGGAGAGAAAAGAAGAGGAACCTTAAGATCAGTTACTAATAAGAAAGTCTCTGTAGCATGTGTTGGATCAGTTGCTTGTCGAAACTAAACTTAGTAACAAAAACTATACGACGGATAATACAAAATCGAGAGATATGACCAGTCTCACCAGAGATCTCCCAGAAAACCAAGAACATGACAGAAACTCCAATAAAATTCAGTAAAGACGATTGAATTGTCTGAAGATACATTCCAGTGTAAAACCCTAGAACTCAACAATCTTACATCAATGAACTGATGGGTCATTCCAAAACCTTGAGAAGTAAACAATACGATGCTTAAGCATTTCCAACAATGAGTTGCGCAAGGAAACGACAAGGGGTTTACCGAAATGTAAAATCCTAGAACTGAACAATCTTACACAGGTGAGTATCCATCAGAGAAACAAAATCATCCATGTGTAACAACATTTAGAATTTCAAAGTTGAAGAAACCACAATTCTGAAGAACAATTATTCCAGACTCTGAAAAAGAAGTATAAAGTTTCATACTTTTGCTGCAAATATCCAAATCAAGCAGCTAAATCCTTCATCAAATCTTCCTTGCTCCCGTCTTTGATCCCCAACTTCATCTGCTCTGCCACAAAGCACTTGGTGATCACATTGCAGAACAAATACACAAACTTGACCGAGTCACGAGCTGGCACAGGATACGTAATCTTCTCAAAGAACTCCAACGGCACGTTAGGATCCACAATTGCAACAACCGGAATCTGAAGCTTCGATGCTTCAAGTATCACCGAGCTCTTCCTCTCAGTATCAAACACAACGACGCAATCAGGCATAGTAGTCGGACCAAAGCAAAGCTTTTTGTGCCTAGATCGAAACTTCTTAGGACTGTAACTGTTAGTCAGAAAGCCACCCATCTTCCACAGATTCATAGCACGGTTGTGATTATACGAATCGCCTTGGATCCGACGAGAAGTGAGCTCGATAATCTCGTCGAAGAGAGGATTGGTGTTGACGAAGAAGATGTTACCTCTCATGTGAGCGAGATTAGCGACGAAATGAGCGGCGCTACGGAGGCAAATCAGGGTCTTGTCTGAGTCGATAATGGTCATCCCGTTACGCGTCCCGTAAGCGTATTGCTTGAAATGATGCTCGGCGGCGCGACGGCCGAGATGTGATCCGGTGTTCAGAAGCTTCTGGATTACTGCAGCGTGAATAGTCATTGTTCGTCGCCGGAACAAAACCTACCGGAGAGGGTTTAGGGTTTTTAGATAAATTCGCAGATTGAATTAGAGATCTGTTTGAGAAACTGAAAGACGGATGAATCTGGATCCCCCTCGGGTCGGGTCATTCCGGCTCGGGTTTAAGATCCTTACAAATACAATCGGCCCACTTAATTCAAAATGTCTAAACCGGGTCGTCGTACATTTAACCATTGCGCACACGTCTCGTTGACCAAACAAAAAAGAAATAAAATTTATTAGAGATTAGAGTAAAGTAAGAGAGATTGATTAATGGGAAATAAATAGAAATTTGGCGGCGACTAGAGTTTCCTTTGGGTTTCCAGATATCGTGAGCTTATTCCTAGCTTTCTCTCGAAGGAAGAAGCTCTCTCATCTTTTCTCTCACTCAGATCACGTTCCCCTGTAAGAGAATCTATCAAACCCAATTCGAGAAATTTGTGTTTTGTTTTTCCTTATTAATCTATCTTAGCTTTCGGATTTTGTATGTTTCCTTGTGATTTGGTGTTCAAAAAAGACGATCTGAGATTTGGGGCTTTTAAGCGATCCGGTTTTGTCTGAGCCTATTCGTTTATCTTCCAATTAGGGTTTGTGGTGGAGCTCTGTTTGATGTTCTGAATTTTTTAACAAACGATTCAATGGTTGGTGACTTTGCATCGGTTTGTAATTTGCTAGGTTGACAAAATTCTATCTTGTTTTGATTTCCGATGAAGCTTGTAGGGTTTTTTTTTTTTGGTCTAATTGGTTTCTCTTTTCATGGATCTGTTCTGTGAGCTTGTGTAGAATTGGGCTCTATTGTGCCAAATATTGGAAGACTGGGCACACTTTTAATTTTGATCTTTCTGCTGCATTATGATTACTGGCAAGACAAAGTCTCAAATTTTCAGTTGTTGTGTGTTTGTTTTGTTTTGTTTTCTTTGATCTTATTTCTGCTATTTTTATGCAGGGGCTTATTCGCTGGTATCTGTTGCTTTACAAGATGGCATCTGCCACTCTGAGAAGGCGTCTTCATCACGGGGATGTAGATGGGAGGAAGTATGAACGTTATGATGCTACTGATTCTGAAACATTAAGCGAACCTTTGTTAGGAAGTAGTAGTACTGATAATAGTAGAGATGAGTACAATGAGGTTAGTGCTTCAGAGTGTATTTTTTTTTTTTTAAATAGAGAGATGAGACGAACCCTTTTATGTATTATTATCTGTTGTGTGTCTCTTTAGGAGCGTACTCTGGAGGATATTTGGGAAGAAGAACGGAAGAGACAGCAAGTTCACTGGACATTAATCTTTTCTCAGCTGATTGCACAATGGGCTCAGTGGATAGGTATGCCTTTTATTATCTTGTTACCCTCACTCCCTGATTGTTCAAAAGAGGGATTATCTCAATACAACTTGTTTCTTGGTTTTGCAGCCAAAATTGTCTTTGGATCTGGCTCAATTTTTGGGAGGTTTCTTTCTCTGCCTTCATTTGGTCAAATTGGTACTGGTGGTAGGCTCTTGCCACCACCTCTTAGTATGTTACAGGTAATTGAAAGGATCTCCTTATCTTTTTTGAACATTAGATACCAAAGGATTTCGACAAAAAAAATAAAAACAAATATATATAAGAATATGTTTAAGAGGAATATAATGTATATCAGCCTATACCATATCTCGTTGAAGTCCAAATTTTCACATTAGGTTCTTGGTCTTAGCATTGTTTAGTTGCCTTTGAGAGATAAGACTGCTAGTGTCACTATATTTGCACTGTCTCGTTTCTAAAAGTTTGCAAGACTGCAAAATACTATATTGGCTTGTATTTGGAAGAATATTGGTAAATCTGGAAGATAAATAGATAAAATAAATATTAGAGTTATCAGATTGTGTTTCTGCTCTGTGCCTCTAAGTCTCTTACCTTTGTATGTGGTTTATTAGGAAGCCTACTTAGTAAAAGTGATGACTTTCTCTTGTGGTCTCTTTGTTTCTCAATTGCTTGGCTTTGTTATATCTTAAAATCTCAGTATTTTGTTTTGTTTCCAGTTATCCGTGGTCAGTTTGACTGTCACTGTCAATTTGACCTCGAACTGTATTTTCTTACCTCTTATTAGGAAGAAAGGCTGAGAAACATTAAGCGAAGAATAGAGATCCCATTTGATGGATCTCGAATGGAGCATCAAGTAAGTGTTCTCATGGACTCTTTCTGTTTGCTTGATTCTCTATATGAATTCCGGATATGCAATGTTTTGTTAAAATTGATGTAATCTCATGATTCACAGGATGCTCTTAAACAACTTTGGAGGCTAGCTTATCCACAGAGGGAACTACCACCTCTTAAATCAGAACTCTGGAAAGAAATGGGTTGGCAAGGAACAGACCCTTCAACAGATTTCCGGTACACAAATAGTAGCTTTGGTCATGGAAAATCCTTCAGACCTCTCAAGCCGTTTTACTGATGATATGGTTCCATAAATTGGTTTTTGTAGAGGTGGGGGATATATATCACTGGAGAATCTAATCTTCTTTGCAAAGACCTATCCGGTATGTGATTCATCTATAATTCACAATCACATCTACATATGTTTGATTTTTATCATGCCCCTTAATAAAGAAAACATACATATTTGCTAAGAGAACTAATTACTTTATACAATTTTCAAGTATATAAGAGAAGTAATCACATCTACAATATCTTTTGACTTGCTATGTTGCTAACAAGATTTTTGTGATTTAATTATGACAGGAATCTTTCCAGAGATTGTTACATAAAAGAGATGGAACAAGAGCAGACTGGGAATATCCTTTTGCGGTGGCTGGCATCAATATCTCATTCATGTTGGCACAAATGTTAGATCTTCAATCAGGTAAAAAGAAGTTGAAGAGTCCAGCTAGAAAGTGATCAAAGCTTTTTCATATTTCGTTTTTCCAAATGGTGTTTGGTTGGTCAGGTAAACCATCAACAGTAGCAGGGATAAGGTTCTTGGGATTGCTGGAAGAAGATGAAATGGCATTCGACAATCTTTACTGTATAGCTTTCCAAATGATGGACGCTCAATGGCTTGCCAAACGAGCTTCTTACATGGAATTTAATGTAAATAAATGTCTTCTTGGTTATGAATATGATGTCTTCTTGGTTATGTGTTGTTAACCGGAATTTAATTATTTGGGCAGGACGTCCTGAAATCGACGAGGGCACAATTGGAACGTGAGCTGGCACTTGATGATGTTTCAAGCATCAGAGACTTGCCTGCTTTCAATCTTTTGTACAAATAATATTATTAATTTCTCAATTTTAACTGCCAATTTTTTCCTATAATTTCTATCTGTATGACTGTATTTAAATAAATAATTTGAGGAAAATTCGGTGTAATAAATAATTCATCATTATTTTATTTTTTTGCTGAATACAGTATTTATCCTTTTACTCCAGAGAAGGAAAGAAAAGAAATGTCAGCGAGTTAGGAGCAGGCTTATTGCTAAAATTTGCATTCGATTATTTTCTTTCACTTTCGTTATAATCATCTCTATGATCAATATTTTACTTTTTGATTTTCTTTTCCTATAACTAGAGAGAACCTACAAATCAAAAAAAAATCACGTGATAAACTTAGAGCGTAACAATCACGCGTGTACAACGGTAACTTATTTTTTCATTCACTATGTTGTCACATCAGTCAGAACGTTGTAGAAAACAGTAAAATATGAACGTTACCAAACCAGTCGGTAGTAACTCTTTGTATTATTATTTTATTTTTTAGTCACCAATGGTAACTCATCCGAAACGAAATTTTGAAGACGATTGCGAAACAGTAACTTTTATTTTTCTATTATAATTTTATTTCACTCGAACGGTAACTCATGTGACCGTTAGAAATAATCTCTATATATACGTAGACAGACACCTTCGTCTTCCTTCGTTCAGACATCAAAAGCTTCTCTCCTTTCTTACTCTCAAATTTCATTTCTCAAATATCCCAATAATAGTCTCTGTTTTATATTCTTTTGATATACATACGTCTTCTACAACTCAAGCCTTGTCTCTGATCTCTTTTGATATACATACGTCTTCTACAACTCAAGCCTTGTCTCTGATCTTCTCATTCCCTGAGCATAGAGACTTAAAGACTCATCACCCCTACAAAGGTAACACCACGCCTTTGGTCCTTTTACTTCTTTTGTATTTTAGTTTCCCACATCTTGCAATTTTTTATGCTTAGTTTAAGAAAGTAAAAAATACATTTTGAGTTATGGAATGGTAGTGTAAGGAAGTTAACAAATAAAATCTAAATCTCATCTTTTTTTTAAATGTTTTAGTGAAGCTCTCGTGGTTCGATGATTTAAATAGATTACTCTTAAAATTTTGTCTTTAAAAAGAAAGCAAACTATCATTGATTTTTGTATTTCGCATTGAAGTTTCATTTTAATCATACTATGTTTCTTCCTACGAAAATGAGGATTAGAAGACCATATAAATGATTGTTAAATGGACATAGAAACAAAAATTATCATTCCTTTTCCTGTTATCTTAACATTTCTTTCTGAAAAGAAAAAAAGAAATTAAGGAAAAGCGTTACTTTTGTAATAGTCTGAAATGTGTTTACTTTTTTTTTTAGTCGACATAAGAATATATTAACTTGCATGATTTTAATTTCTGTAAAAAAAAAAAAAATTCTGAAGGAATTGTAATGATTTGATCTCGTTTTGCAGATGAACATATATTCAAAAGGAGTGAGTTAACGAGTAGGCCAAAATGGGAAAGCTAAGTGATCTGATCGCTCACATGCATGTCCTTTTGAGAGAAACTACAGATGGAAAAAAGATCGGATGTGAAGGAACAGAGAATCTTGGGAATGTGCCTTACTTTGTAGGATGAGTGATAAATGCTTGCTTGTAAGCTATATATGTGATGGTAAAATGTATGTGTAGTTATGACGGCTGGTAAAAGCTCTAGTTTCTTAGAACACAAGAAACACAAAATCTTAAGAACATAAGTAAAAGAATTACTCTCTTTTATTAGATTTAGAAAAATCTCTCAAAAACTAAAGCTCTCTTGTTTCTCAAATCTCACAAGTTATGCCACACATTGACATCTCCTTATATAAGGAGAAAACCCTAGGACAATTCCTAATCAAAATAGGTAATATTACATATCTAGATTGCTCCTAAATATGTTTGTCCTTATCCCCTAAACCATTACTCGGTTTGCTTGTGGTTCAAGCTTAAACCAACATTCTCCCCCTTAAGCTTGAAGCCATCCTCCTCCAAGTCATGAACACCAATATAACTTCTCATCTCCTTGAACTTGACTCGTCCAAGCGCCTTTGTCAAAATATCAGCCTTTTGTTTCTCCCCTGGAACATACTCAACTTGAATTTGTCCATTCTCAACACACTCTCTTATGAAATGATATCTTCTATGAATGTGTTTGGACCGACCATGAAACACCGGATTCTTCGTAAGAGCTATTGCAGATTTGTTGTCGAGTAGGACAACAACCTTCTCGGATGGTGATCCAGTTATCTCACTAAGCAAGTCCCGGAGCCATATTGCTTGTCTTGCTGCCTCTGTTCCGGCCATGAATTCTGCTTCACAAGACGACATCGCCACCGTGTCTTGTTTATGCGAACACCAAGATATAGGGCTTCCTCCTAAGTAGAAGATGTAACCAGCTGTGCTTCTACCATCATCCGGATCAACATTATGACTACTATCACTATAGCCTATTAATCTTGGTATCTTTGATACCGATCGTTCAAAGACAAGACCAAGTGTAGTAGTTCCTTGCAAATACCTCAAGCATTGTTTCATAGCAGCTCCATGAGATACTTTGGGATTCTGCATATATCGACTCAAAATTCCCACACAATATGTTAGATCTGGTCTCGTATGAAGTAGATAACGAAAGCACCCTACATGTTTCCTGTATCTTGTAGCATCAATGCTCTTCTCATCTTCTGCCTTTGACAATTGTAGACCGGTTTCCATTGGTGTGTGAGCCAAATTACAATTCCTCATGCCAGCTTCTTCTAAAATCTTTGTTGCATAGCGTTTTTGATTCAACATGATTCCTTCTTCATGTTGATACACTTCAATCCCGAGATAATAAGTCAATTTCCCGAGGTCGCTCATGTCAAATTTCAACGCCATTTCCCTTTTAAACTCATCAATAACCTCTAAGCATGTTCCTGTGACAAATAGATCGTCCACGTAAACCGCAATAAGAAGTAACGTGTTGTTTACCATTTTCCGATAGACCGACGGTTCCTTTGCACACTTTGTGAATTGTAACTCCATGAGTATTGCATTCAGCTTATTGTTCCACGCTCTTGGAGCTTGCCTTAAACCATACAAAGCCTTATGAAGTCTGTAGACTTTGTCTTCACACCCTTTTTCCTCAAACCCTTCTGGTTGCTTGACAAACACGGTTTCTTTTAACTCCCCATGAAGAAAGGCTGTCTTAACATCGAGATGATGAATCTCCCATCCATTCAAGGCAGCGAGGTTGACAAGTAGGCGTATTGTCTCAAGACGGGCTACAGGCGCAAAGACTTCATCAAAATCAACTCTGTACCGTTGGACGTATCCCTTAGCGACTAGTCGAGCCTTGTATTTATTAATGCTCCCATCGGAATTCCTTTTGATCTTAAACACCCACTTCAAACCAATTGCTTTTGCTCCAACAGGTAGATCTACAAGACTCCATGTGTTGTTCTTTTGAATCGAGAGAATCTCATCTTCACATGCCCGTATCCATTCCTTTGATACCTTTGCTTCCTCGAAACTTCTTGGTTCATTATTCAGACACAGTAGAAGTCTTTCTCCTTCCTCTTCAGCAAGTAACACATAGTCTTCAAGATATTTAGGTTTTGAAACCTCTCTTTGTGTTCTCCTTAATGCTATAGGTTGATCATCGATCTCCACATCTTCATCTTCTGTTTCAAGTGATACAACCGATCCATTTTCTTCTGAAATAGTCTCATTGTTGTCTTCGTTTCAGGATTCAAGCTCTTCTTCATTCTCATGATCATTCTCTCCCTCTTCATCGTTCCTTTCAACAATTTCTTCGATCCCATGGTTTCCGAATTCCCCAAATGTCACAATGAAGTTTCCATCGAGATCCGATTCTGAGTTGTTTCTACTCCAGTTCCAGCCTTTTGTCTCATCGAATACAACATCTCGACTGACAACAACTTTCCTTGTTTTTGGATCGTACATTCGGTATGCTTTTGAACCGGGTTCAGTACCAAGATGGACAAGCATACGGGATCTGTCATCAAGCTTCTTTAGAAGATGCTTCTCAATCTTAGCATATCCAATGCACCCAAAAATCCGAAGATGATCAATATTTGGCTTCTTATCTCGATAGACCTCATATGGTGTTTTATCCTTGAGTGTTCTTGTGGCAACTCTATTCAAGAGATAAGTGGAATGTCGTATCGCTTCTCCCCACAAATGATTTGGCATATGCATATGCTTCAGAATGCTTCTCGCCATCTCCATAAGTGTTCTGTTTCGTCTCTCGACAACACCGTTCTGTTGAGGTGTGTATGGTGCCGTAAGATGCTGTGTGATACCCGAATCGGCACAAAATTCATTAAACTCTTGCGATACGAACTCTCCACCTCTATCAGTTCTGAATGTTTTTATGCTAGCTCCAGACTCTCGTTCAACTATGCTTTTAAACTTCTTGAATTTCTCAAAAGCCTCACTCTTCTCTTTTAGCAAAACAGTCCACATGTACCTAGAACAATCATCAATGAGAACAAAGATATACTTATTACCAGCTTGTGTACTTGGCGTTATTGGACCGCAAAGATCTCCATGTATAAGCTCAAGTAGTTTAGTTGCACGGTAAGTAGTTGCTTGAGGAAAGACTTGTCTTGTTTGCTTCCCTAACATACAAGATCCACATACTTCTTTCTCAACATTAAACATTGGAATTCCTTGCACAAGCTCTCTTTGTATCATTGACTTGATCGTGTCGAGGTTTATATGTCCTAACCTTGCATGCCATTTATTTGACTCGCTTATACTCGCTAGATGTAAGCACTCATGTTCTATGATTCCCATTCGAACTTTGTAAAGCCGGTTCTGTCCACGAGTTGCTTTTACAAGTAGTTTCCCATCACGGTCATGCATGGTTAGACATTCTCCTTTCATACGTATATCACAACCTGTTTCGGTAGCTTGCCCAAGACTGATGATGTTGCTTTTCAAATCGGGAATGAAGTAAACATCTCTCATTGTTCTTGGTTCTCCTTTCATATCCGTAAAAGCTATCGACCCTTTTCCTTTGATGTCTATCCTTGAATCATCACCAAATCGCACCTTTCCTGTGATTGATCTATCCAATCTGGAGAAATACCTTTGATCACCAGTCATGTGGTTGCTAGCCCCATTATCAAGGTACCAAACATCATCCTCTCCTGTGCTTGAGGTGTAGTCACTAGGTTTGCAATGCTTTTCATTCAAGTATACGACCTCATGCATCATGAGTTCATCCGCTTCTTGAGTCTCTGTTGTATTCATCAAGCGGTCGGGACATGTCGATGCATAATGCCCTAGTTTGTCACAACGGAAACAGGTCACCTTGGATGTATCTCGTCCTCCACCAGTCCGACCACGACCTCTTCCTCGATATCGTCCTCCACGACCGCGACCGCGATTTCCACCGTTATACTCTTGGTAAGATTGCTCAGTTGAGGACTCCATGTTCGCATACATCAATTTGCTTTGATCTTCTTGTGGCTCATCTTCGTCAGCTATATGTTCCTCATAGGCCTTCAAACGTCCAATGATGTCCTCAAAACTAGTATTATTAAGATCTAGGACCTGTTCAAGAGAGGCCACGAGGTGAATGTATTTCTTTCGTGGTAAACAGAAATTTCTTAACTAACTTTGATTCTTCCATGATGGCTCCTAACGCTGTTGATTTAGATGATATCTCCGATATTCTTCCACTGAAATCATCTATTGTTTCAGAATCTTTCATCTTGAGACGATCAAAATCAGACATTAGCGTTTGGAGTCTAGCTTCTTTAACCTGATCTGCTCCTACATATCTCGCCTTTATCGCATCCCAAATCTTCTTCGCCGTATTCAGTTCTCCAACTTGGAGGATAAGTGCCTCGGGGATAGATTGTAACAACAAGGCGACAGCCATGTTGTTCTTCTCATGATTAACCGGATCCTCGGGCTCGGTTTCTATAGTTTCCCATGCCTTATGAACCTTCAGCGCAGCTTTCATCCTCAGCGCCCATACGGTGTAGTTAACAGAGGTTAGCATGGGACACTGGATAGACGAAGATCCTCCGCCTTCTCTCGGTCGATCAGCAGCGGGAATTATGTCACCCATATTGTCCTCACGATTTTAGAAAGCTCTGATACCAATTCTAGTTTCTTAGAACACAAGAAACACAAAATCTTAAGAACACAAGTAAAAGAATTACTCTCTTTTATTAGCTTTAGAAAAATCCCTCAAAAACTAAAGCTCTCTTGTTTCTCAAATCTCACAAGTTATGCCACACATTGACATCTCCTTATATAAGGAGAAAACCCTAGGACAATTCCTAATCAAAATAGGTAATATTACATATCTAGATTGCTCCTAAATATGTTTGTCCTTATCCCCTAAACCATTACTCGGTTTGCTTGTGGTTCAAGCTTAAACCAACAAAAGTTGTATGTGTAGTGAATGTTTAGGATGTGGATGATTAGTTTGGATGAATGTTTAGGATGTGATGTGGATGATTAGATTAGGTGAATGTTTAGGATGATTAGATTAGATGAATGTGGATGATTTAGATTAGGTGAATGTTTAGGAAAGTGTAGATGAATGTTTAGGATGGTGTAGATGAATGTGGATGATTAGATTAGATGAATGTTTAGGATGTGGACGGTGTAGATGAATATGTATAGGATGATGGTGTAGATGAATGTGTAGAAAGTGAATGATCAGAGTAGATGAATGATGAATATGTAGATTGATGGTATGTAGAGAGCAGGTGAATGTTGTATG